TTCTGCAATTTTAGTTAATTGCACTCTCCACTATGCAGTGCAGCACGATAAAACCATAACCTAGAACAACAATAAAAATATTGTGACAATCGTTGCGGTAACTGCGGACAGGCAATTTTGCCAACTGAAACAAACGCATAATAATATAATAATAGAACACCGCGTATATTGTCGGTTTCATTATTAATTGAATGCAAAATTTCGCATGTAATTTCGGCGGATGACGAAACGTGCAGGTGATGGAATCTAGCCGCATGTATTCGCAATTAGTTTGTCGGATATGGCACGATATTAATTATAATTTTTGCTGTTCCATTTGCAGCCGCAGAGCCACAAAGGAAATCCTATAAAAGGTAATTGCATATTATATTATACGAAACTGATGATGGCGGAGGAGGATCGCCGCTAAATGCGTTTCCTACCGTTCGAAATCGACGATTCGTGCCGCCAATTAAATTTCCATTTATATATTTATATTTAACTAACAATCATCATTTAGTTTTTCCTCTATACAGGGTGAGCGTATTGACAATAACATATTTATTTGATGAATATATGCTTTACATTACTGTAAGTTCTCGCAAATAGGGAAACGGAGACACGCGACCAAAAATAATCAAATTTTACTTTAATTTTAAATTGTTTTTATAGAAATTTGCATTATAATATATGTTTTACATAATACTAACATTTACACACAGAAATATTAAGTTTATTTTTGTGATAAAATCGCATGGAATCATTTGTAGCAGGTGATCGCACCCAAAACTCCTCTTCTTACTTTTGCAGTCCTGTCAAAATTTTGTATCATTTGCTACGATTTGATCAACAATTTGGATTATCGTTTCTAAATATTTTCTAAGAAAATCTATAGCAAGTTCTTTTGGTTAATCGTCTTCAGAATCGCGTATTTCAATTCCTTGTTCCTTTAGTTCTTGATAGTCGTTGTTTAAGTTTTTAATATCCTACTCATCTACATCTCAAACAAGCATAGATTCTGGAATCTATGAAATGCTGCGATAATTTGAATCCGGGTAAATTTTGATCTTTTTGAAGATTTCCAACAAACCGCGTTCTAGCAAATCAGCGTTAATCGAGGGAGCGCTAAGCAAGGTATTATTATATAATACAATTATCAATAATTAATAACTACTATAATAATGATATAATGATTTACTATACAAATTGTCATAAAAGAAGCATTACCTTTTTGTTATGGCGCCATTAATTTTCTTTTGAGGTCAGTTTTCATTTTTCCTACAAATAATATGATCTATCTATTTTTATAATGGCATATTAACACCTGAATTAATATTCATTGCACTCGTTTAAAATGCATGAATCGCATTAAAATGATTTTATCTATTGTTGTTTTTGCAAAATTAGAAGTTGCGATCAAAGACTACGATTAGAAGATGCAACTATTTGAATAAAATTAACAGAGTTCTTTGAAATCTGCATTTCGAACAATGAAATGTATTCAAGGAAAATTAGAAACAAAATATTATAAATATTCATTGGAGAATATTTTTATATAATTTTTATTTATATAATCTTCGATAACAGGATTTGCATTTATTTTCGTATCCTGTTGAATATTTCAAATACTTTGTAGCATTCGTATAGGTTTCTTTTTTCTCTTCACTCTATTCTTTGAATCGCTAAATACTAATATCAATAAAGTCGCATATGTAGATTTTACGCTTTGCGACATTGGACAATTGGACAAAATTAGTTTCAATATTGTTTTGATGATGATTGCTTAGATGATGAATTGTACGTAACGAAAACTGAGATAGGTAAACAAAATAAAAATAGAAAGCTATTATTTTTCGGAGAACAAAGGACAAACGAACGGGCGGCTTTTGTTGAAAATGAGCGAACTATTCATTACGGTTCGTCGTGGTAATGGGTAATTGGGTCGAGTTTGATGGAACCACCCACAGCGATTACACACACACAAAAAAACAATGATTTTTTTCAACACGAATTGCATAAACTTGATGTCATTAAAGTCTGCATAAGCCACAGAATCATGTAAATATAGTAGTAATAAATCAGTACTTCGTATAGTGCGAGTAATATTGGTGGAACCGATTAACCGTACTAATCGAGAGCCTTAACTGTGCAAAAGGAAAAAACGATCACAATAATTTTGTGTAATTTTTTTTTCTATAGTGAATCTGCGAGGAATAGCTATAAATTTGGTAGTATTTGAAAAGTTCAAATTCTAGTTCATATTTTCTTTAAATTAAATCTTATATAGGATTGTTCACTGACCTTTGAAATTGATTTATATCTGTATATTTGTAACTTTCTTTTCAATACAGCTAGGTAACATTAAGTCTCAGCTGATTTCGCTTACTCGAGATGTGTTTTTCTAGAAGTATTACGACTAAATATTTCACCAGCAAACATTTAATGAAATGATTACTAAACGATTGGCAAGGTTAATTTTGTTCGGTGGAAAAACAAATTAAACTGTTAAACTTTGATTAAATGTAATCATGTTTACAAAATATCATTCGAGTATGAGGTATAAATCGCATAAGTCAACAAAAATGTTAAAATCAATGTTAGATTATTTCTTAATACAAATTTATACATTTATAGAAATAAAAAACACAATTACTAATGTTATCAATACTGTCACTATTATATCGTTAAGTAGTATTCTATTGTATTTACAACTTCTTACTTGCCAAGTACATTTAAACGGCGCATGTTTCTTCCGAGTATATACTTCTTTATACTTATATCTACTATTTTATATTATATATCCGATATGGTCTAGTGGCTAGGATACCTGGCTTTCACCCAGGAGGCTCGGGTTCGATTCCCGGTATCGGAATATTTTTGACCAAAATATGTAAGAATGTTTTAAAATCAAAATTAGTCACGTTATTTCTTTTAGTTCCTACATATATATAAACTATTTCATATTCTTCAAATTTAATGAAAAAGATAATAAATATTCATATGCATTGTTTCATAACGCCGTAAATAGGGACGGTAAATTGATTAATGAAACTAAAAATGGGAATTAGTGATTAAATATTTAGAAATTTAATGATAGCGTCATTGCATAATTCGTCAAACGAACCATGGGCTTTGAATTGTTAATGCACAGAACAAGACAAGGCAATCAGCGGTTGGAACAATTGATATCTGGAAGAGGCGTTTTCGACTATTGTCACGAAAATGAGATGTAAGCTTTCTCTGGTGCATAATTCACCAACGGATAGTTGGCAATAATCCATTAACTTGCATCCAAAGACACGAAATCTATTGCAAATTGATGTAGAAATTTCCAAAAAAATTCTAAAACAATTCAATGTTACATTGTGAAACTTAGAAAATATATAACTATAAATATTCATTAATAAATTAAATAGTTGAATAGAAAAAAAAACAGCTTCTTTTAAATCTTGTGCCAGCAACTTGGTATACGCAAGATTCATTCTTTTTCCCAAGGTGACCGTTATTTCTAAAATATGTCTTCCTAGTAGAAAAAGGTGCCGAAGTTGTCTATAGCAGAAATTTGTGATCTTTACAAATGTGAACCCACGTACTGACCCAAAGACAGAAGAAAAATTCCAGGTGTTCTTGACTTCTGTATTATGAAAGGGATATCTAAAAACTATACCAAAATCGAGCAATGCCTGGATCTCTCGTCAGACCACCTCCCCAATAATTATATCATTATGCTCAAGAGTGGCGAAAATTACAAAACCACCATCACTGTATAACAAAGATACCGACTGGAAATCATATAAAGTTTTAGTAACGGACAAGATATTACTGAACAGACCACTAAAAACAAAAGATGATCTCGATGAGCCTGTGGAAACATATATTGAGAGTCAAATAAAGACAAAGAAGACGCCAGGCTATGACTTAATAAGGGGAAAACTGTTGAAAGAACTCCTATTGAAGGGAATTGTTTTGATCACTCAAATATTTAATACTATACTACGTACAGGTTACTTTCCAGCGCAGTGGAAAGTCGCACAAATTATAATAATAGCTAAACCTGGAAAACCTGCCGAAGACATCAAGTCATACAGACCCATAAGTCTTCTACCGATATTATCAAACATTTTCGAAAAACTTCTTGCTAACCGATTGCAACCTATTATAGCGTCAAATAAGCTGTTACCAGACCATCAGTTTGGCTTTCGTTGCAAACACGGCACAATAGAGCAAGTAAACAGAATAGTAAATACCATCTACCAAGATAAGGAAAGTAAAAGATACAGATTTTGACAAAGTTTGGCATCCCGGACTACTATAAAAAATAAAGAAGAACCTGCCATATCATTATTTGAAAAGAATAAAATCATACCTCGATAATAGAATGTTTCAGGTAAAAATAGAAGACGAATATACCGATTTATATCCAATAAAATCAGGGGTGCCGCAGGGAAGTGTTTTAGAACCACTGCTTTACCTTTCGGAATTATCAGAATTATCAGTGGAAAATAAATTACTTATATACAAAGTAATACTGAAACCAGTATGGATGTATGGTATCCATGTGTGGGGTGCGGCCAGTAAATCGAACATACAAATTATACAAAGGTTCCAATCAAAATGTCTAAGAAATATCATTAGGGTTCCGTAGTTCGTCCAGAATAAACAAATAGGCAAAGATCTTCATATAGATATGGTCGAGGATACAATACCAACATTTAGTAGTAGATACCAAGATAGACTGGAGTCACATACTAATGTTCTGGCTATTGGCCTACTCGACAACAGTGAAACCACAAACAGTCTGAAGCGTTGCAAACCAAATTTTAGAATTGCAAAAACATTTGTAAATAGTACGTAGGATTGGCATACAGCAACGGTTCAATAACAAATAAATATATTAGAAAGGAAATATTTTGAAAGTTATAAAATATATTGATAATAAAATAAAATAAACTTCACAAAATAAAAAGTAAGTAAAAAAACAATTTAGTTACATACAATAAATTGAAAAATTCTATCTGTACTCAAGATGTATTTTTTTTCATATGAAATGCAACTCAAAACTCAAATTCAATGTTGAATTATTAAATTAATTCACTTCAGAGAGAATTCGAGCTTTCATTTGTACCATGGTTTGATTCATCTGGACCTATAAATGATTTATTATAAAAAAAAATTAAAAAATGTATCTAGTCTTACCACTGATGATATCTCCATTATTTTTGTAAATATCTTGTTCAACTAGTTGTTGAATCCCTATGAATTCTCCTTCAAAAACAATGTTAGCAGAACTTGAACTCATTTCAAATATGGAAATCGTTCAAATGCAACAGAAATCCATATATAATTGCTTTCGTTTCTCATAACGTTGATAAATTATGATTTATGTACTTAAAAAATTAACAAGTTCAGAGTAGCACAGTTGCTACTTCTGTATTACAATTTTGTGAAAGATAGTCGTTTCTTTTCAAATCGTTGATCGCATTTAACTGTGCATTGTTTTGCACCTCTCGATAAAATCTGTCTATAGTCGGCGTAGACGGCAGACAGAAAATGCCCGCTAGATACTTGTAACAAATCCGACTGCGACTGTAAATGCTGTATGCAAACATCTTGTCCTCCAACGTATAGGTTTGTCCTTTATTCTTGTGACCGGCATTGTTCAATTGCGTTTTAAAGAAGCGCTGCACGAAACCGTCCAGCTTCTGAAATTGCTGAAACTCTTTAAGCTGTTCTTTATATTGGTCTACTCTCTTCTTCAGATAATACACTTGTCTTTGTAGCTGCCTCTGTTTTTTAAGTTTCAATTTTTCCTTTTCTATATTCATCAGACGGACTTGATTAAGCGTTTGCCTTTGTTCAAACGGTTTGCAATATAATTTGTCTAATTCATTTTTATTATGTTGCATGTTCATTTTGTTTACTAGGATCTTCTTCATCACATACTCGTTCATTTTATTTACTTCGTCAGAATTGGTTTCATTTACTCGACAATTTAAATCTTTTTGATTTGTGACAATCGTTTCATCCACGACCATTGTTGTGCTCACTTCAGGCGCCTTCTTTTTCTTCGGTACTTTGAAAAGTATTAATCCATCGTTTACATACGATTTCGGTTTGACAGAGTTATTATCAATAACTTGCGTTTGACCTAATTCAAAGTCATATTGCCCATTAATTATTTTTATCTCATTAAATTCTCTTCTATTTTCAGGTTTAAATGTAACAGAAACATTTTCCATTTCATTCAAACGTTTCTTTTGGGAATCAACTGCTTTAATCGACTTAGTTTTGTTTTCAAAATTCGTTATATTAACACAAGCATTTGATTTCCATGCATTTTCAGGTATTTTTACAACCATTCTATTTACCTCTAACTTTACTTTCTTTGGGCACAATTTGCCTAAATATGTTTTCGGATGTGGAACTTCAACCTTCTGTGTTTTATAATTATTTTCAGTTTTGATATTATTTTTAAAATTTAAAAATTGTTTCAGCCCGTGAACAACTTCATCCTTTTGAACATCACCTTTCTTTTGTTCAATGTTAATGTTCTCCAACTGTTTTGTGCCTTCAATTTTATTGGAAAATTCTTCTGGTTTACTTTGTTCGTCAGGGAATTCTGTAGAATAAGAATATATAAGATAAATATTAGTATTAAAAGATTTTTGTCTCCAATTACTTCTCTTTCTTACTACATCTTGACCATCTGAAGGCAAATTTTCTGTAGGTATTTGCATCTCTTGAACTCGAAATGCAGACTTCTGTTGATAGCTCTTGGAAAAATGGATATTGCACACTCTCTTTGACCTCTTGATGTACTCAGGGGTGAGATTCTCTAGAGATTTGTTTTTTGTAGCTTTAATCCATTCCTTAAACTCGGGACTTGTAATGCTAGGAAAATTTCTTAACGTTACACCAGTATTAGAATTATTGGTGCAACCAGAAATAGCGCAAAAGTAAATCATCCTAAAATAATATCATTATTTCTAAATGTTAATTCGAAAGATATTACTCACTTTAATCACTGTAAAACAATTCAGTCAGAAGCTTTCATTATTCACATTCACAAATTACTCTACCACTTGCTATTGCTTGCTATCACTACAATTGTTATGATTTTGATCATTGCCAACTGTAAAATATTCAAAGCACTGGCACAGTGGAACCTCGCTTAACGAGCATAATCCGTTTCAAATTCCGTATTTTTACTCGTATAGTGAGACAATTTTCCCTATATAAACTAATGTAATATACGAAAATGCGTTCCGAATTATTTTTCTTACAATTTATTTTGCTCGTTATGTGACATTCCACTGTATACAGTCTATGAGCATTGTCTGGATGTAGAGCATCTTTGAAGTTATGAATATACCGAATTTATTTACCACTTAAAAAGATGAGAAAAAATAAGTATTTTCTCTTGCTGCAACGTTTTTAATTTAAAATTGTAATATAAGAAAATATCTACAATATGTTAGCAAAATATCACATCATGACATCTGAAAATGTACCAGAAAACGTTCTTTATGCATATTACTTGAAGCAGCACATTGAGAATGGTTGAACTAAAATACAAGGACTAAAGGAATCTAATTCAGGATTAACATCAATAATACAAATCCAAGGCAAACGAAAATAAACTTAGCTACTTTTGTTTGGAGGATGCATTTATAAATAGAAAAAATATATGGAAATAGTTTAGAATGGATTTAAAAGAAAAAAAGTTTTTGTTTAAAAAAATATATTGGGTAATAAATCAAAAATCAACAAAACTAATTTGGATATTCGTGTTCACTTCAATCAGTGTTTCATATCAGTTTTGTTGACAATTTCAAACACAAATATTTGTGGAAGTCTTCAAAATTTGCAAATTACCCTAATTAACGAAATGTTGATGCAATTATGCCATACAAGAATGTTCGTTATCCAAGTCGCTATAAAAGGTCAAGTATCTCAGATTTTAAAATCAAAATACCGCAATAAACTATTATATCGTCAAACAGTCTTTGAAACAAAATAACATCCTGCGGTTTTGGTGACAATAATATGTAGATTTGAATAAAATTCACATAATATGGTTTATTTAATAATTTCTTAAGAATCAAATACAATTTAGATTTATTAAAAGAAAACGACCAAGAAATAAATTTACTAATTTAAACTGACAAATAATGAAGTTAAGGAAGTTTGTTAAAAAAAATACGAGTCAACCTTAATTCCAATGGGAGATACATCTCCGGCAAGAAAATAGGGATTATGATTAGTAGACTACCACGTTACCAAACAAAAATAAATGAACAATAAAACCTGATTATTCCCGGTCTTGTAATTTCTAAAAAAAAGATAATATATACATATTAACTAATACAATGTTCATCAGCGAAAACAACGAACTAATCTAAACTAAAATCAATATTGACAAATGTAAACTATTGTAACAATTAAGACACGTTTGCAGACGTCAATATCGATGGTAGCTTTTGTATTGAATCACATAATTTAAAAATTTCCGCATATGTACATTTTAATTTTATCACAGTTAAGTATAGACAATAACTTGATTATCCATGAAGAATATATCACGAAAAGTCTAGTTTCATGTGACGGTATCGGTATCAAAGAGGAAGCAGAAAACGAAAATCGCACGATAAATTTGGAAAGTGCCTTCGCGGTTCCATAATATATAAGATAGCGAAATTTAAATAAAAATCCTGGCAGTTTTTAAGAATAACAATTAAGAATATGTACGAAACTAATGAGAGTATATGAAATTCAATTAGAATTATGTGCAAAGTATGCACGTTTTCTATTCCCCATTTGATGTCGACGAACGTCTGGGAACAGTCTTCTTGATTTAGTCGAATCTCGCAACGTCGTTTGAGAATCTCTCTTTGTAAATGCGATCCCGGTGTTTAGGATCAAAAATATTTTGCAGACTGTTGCCTGTCCTCAGGATTCGCAATCTGAAACGTTCTCTGTCGCGTACGCATTCCTCCCAGTGACCTTTCCTGCACGCTCTGTACGCGAAATCCCACGCTATTATTACGTGCACTTCGACGAGATTCTTTTCATCAGCGAAACGGACCTGCAAACAACAAAACAATTCATTTAATCAAAGAAACAGAACATGTTTATTTGAAAAGCCAATTCGAAATTGCCGCGCTGTCACATTATACATGAAAACATTTTTGGGTTGACCATGAGTTGCTTTAAGTAAGCAAAACTTTGTGATAAGTAACCAAATCAACAACACATATTTTTATACTTCTCATGTTTCATTGTTGGCTCGCCATTTGAAAATGATTCAGTTATTCATATCTATATGTATATTGCGTAAAAGACGAAAATATATATGTACATCATTTACAAGATTTATGAAGTCGTTTCTGAAGCTGTAACCTCACTCCATTGCCAAATATATTTAATTTTATTACATTAAATTTTAAAGAAATATTTCGACTTCCTTTGATAAATAATTGATATTGTGATTGATAAGAAAAACATACTTTGATCTATTTTTATTTCACAGAATAATGAAACAGTTAGATAAAAATCAATTGACCTCTATCAATTGATCATTTACAATATTATATAACATTCTACTGTTTGACAATTTAAATTGAAAATATTCATAATACTTATTATTTACTTACAATTCTAGTTTTACAACACAATTGCGCTTTGTTGTAATAAATTGCTGTATCATGTACAAGCTTTTGTAATAATGAAAGTGATTTGCATCACTTTCATTTTTATAATTTGGAACAAAAATTTAAGAAACATTAATGCTATTTATATAGAACACTTTTAGTTCAGTGATTAAACTTTTTTTTTATTATCACTGAATTAAAATCATTTAAATTATCAAACCAGAAAATAAAAACATTTTATGTTATGACAGTTAATAAAATGAAATATTGAAAATAATATACAAACCTTTCTTTGTCCAGAATCTACGATGAGGGCATCAGGTTCACTATTGGTAGAGCTGAGGATGGATTCATCTTCTGAAGTGCTGCAATCATCTTCATCACTGCTAGTATCATCCTCATCAGCAATGTCACTCTCATCATCACAGTCACTATCACCACCATCATCATCACCAAACACAACAAAGCTATCCTCGCTAGTAACTGATGGCAATCTTTTTCTTATGAAGCTCCCCCGGCTAGGAGGAGATACAGAATAACAATCCTCCTTTTCGAAAATTACATAGTCATTGTCACAGTAGACTTGTGCAGTTGAAAACTTTTTGACTGGTTTCATGCATATCTTCGACATGGACATTCTTTTGGGAGGTGATATGGTGAACGTGATTGGATCACTTTTCACATGCTGGCATTCAATGGGATGGGTTAAGGGTTCTTCGTGAATTGTTATAAACTCATCCAAAGTGCATCTATTAGGATGGTAATACAAGTCAGGGACGTCAGTGTACGCTTCCACCCCAATTTCAATATCCGCATCATAATTTGAAAATTGATCATTCGTTTTGTGCCAAAGGTTCCGATGCTTCGGTGATTTTTTCGGGGAGCGATTTTTTTTGGGCTTTTTAAGGAATTCTTTTAAGAATTGCGAAGCCTCGTAACTCGACGCGTTGTCATTGGAATTTGGATGAAGGATGGTGCTGGGAAAATCGACAACATCCGCTCCGCATGCGGTTGCTGCTGCCGCCGCAGACTTCAGCATGTTTTCGTCCTGCTGTCCGTGCATATCCATATCTTCGATCGTATTTATTTGCGGTTTCGATTCGTTCACTTCTAATTTGTATACATCCTTTGGACTGTTCAGGTTTTGCAATTTCATGACAACGTCGTGAAGCTGCGAAGTTACATCCTCGATTCTATCCTTATGGAAATATTCCATATTCTCCGAACGTCTGGCGTTGTTCGGGTAGTCAGAGTTCAAATTTCCCGCCATCGCTTTCGGGGAATCCTTTTCGTTGGTCTTGTAAACGTTTGTGAACTGCTTGCACGGATTGTACGAGACCAAAGAGGATATGTTATGATTTTGTTGCTCTTTCTTGGACTGCATCGTAGGGTAGACGCTCTGGTCCAATACTTGACTGCTGGAATTCGTAGAATATGTAGAACACATAATACTCGCACAGTATCCTTGTATTATTTGAACACTTTGAACCTTTCACGTGCGACAACAATATGCAACTATTCTTTTCCTAACACTGGTCTTTCTCGACTCGAATATGTGTAAAGTACAAGCAGAACACCTTAAAGTAATAAATTTATCGGTACTAGAAAGATTTGCAACTACTTTATCCATGATTATAACTTAAGAACTGAGCACTTTATAACCTGCCATTTTGTATCACGTAAGTTTTTATAGTAAATGAATGAGCGTGGCGCAGGAATGGGAAAGTCTCCGTTTTAGTTAGATTTTGCTCCGGTAGGGGGATATTGAACCGCATTCACACAGCACAAAATTATCATCATTCCCAAATTTTCCCAGCAACTCCACAACAATATAAAATACAATTATAGGTAACAATGTCATCAAAACACTAATAGATCAATTTCAGTAGGATACTGCGATTTATATTCGATTTATATTCTATTTAAAAAATGACAGGAAACAGTTTAGTTGTGTATGGCTAACTTCAATATCGTCATTCTAGATTGTGGTGGCGGAATGTTAAATCAATGACGTTCTGGAAAATTTAAACTGTTACATTCCCGAAAGTTACCATCTATTCCACTATTAATAATATAAAACACAATTGTATATAATGCAATAATCGCAACACGAATAGATAAATTTCAATACAACAATGTAATTCTATTTTGAAAATTAGAAGCAACAGTTTAGTTTTGTATAGGTAACTTCGAGATCTTCATTCCAGATTGTTATTAAAAAATGTTAAATCAATGACGTGGAAATTTTCAATTCCACACAATATTACGCATTCAATTATTTTCATTGATGAGCTTCATGCAACCATCAGTACTCGGAAATAATGCAATGACTCATCATGTAGACATTTAACAATGTTCCAAGAAAAATGAATTATTTCCCCAAAAACATATATTTACAATTATCAGACCCGTGGCTGACACATGAGCACTACAAATTACAATATCAGCTATAGAAAATAGTTTTAAGAAATTCATCGGATGTTATGAATTCGTCCAGGAAATGTGTATGTTGAAACATCTTCTACTGCCCTATAATTTGGAAACATTTTTTTTGTTTTTGATATTTTATCATTTAGAAATATTTCCACTTCTATTTTCATTTCCAATAAACGAACTAACACTCTTCTTTGTGATATAAGAGCGACGTATGATCGTTTTTGATTTGTAAAAATATCATAACTGAAAATATTCTGATCACTTCCACGGAAAAATCCTAATCGATACACTTTTTCATATCAACAAATGTAAGGAATTTTATCCGAGCACGTTGTAAACAAAACCACACAGGCTGATTACCATGGGAATGCTTAATCATCAATTATAAATAAGAGCTAAAATCACAACAATATATTGGGTTGTGTAATAAGTTAATTGTGTGTAATGTGTAATTGATAATTACCATAAACTCATTTTTTCCAAAAATGGATTTATACCACTTTCCAAAATAACGGCTTCATATATTTACCGTAAAATGTATACATTATCCCATTCACAATTAAGGAAAAATTATCTTCTAAAATTGTCAACAGAAAACAATTAAAAAATACTTTAAAATTCCATTAATTATTTCACTTTCGAAGAACTAATTTGGAAATAAAGAACAACTGATAAATACATAATTTAATGATTGTTTCAGGATATTTCATGTGATGGTAAATCCAACATGTGTTTAATAACTGTGTGGGGGAAAACCTAACTAAAAGATTAAAGTATCTAGAGCAATTATTGTTATAATTATTGTAATTAATTTGCCAATATGATTAACAAAATTACCAATAAAGTTTTGTTGTCCGTTAATTTCTTAAACAAACTTGAAATTTCATTTTCATAACATGATATTAATATTTTTAACATGATAATATTATTATGTATAACCGTTATTGTTTATATTATGTTAGCCCTTATTATTTTATACATGTTTTTGTCATTAAGACTTAGAAAAAATACCACTTAGGAAGATCCCATAACTAATCATTGTGTAACGACTATTGTTAGTCAACATGTTGTGCACAAACTCAAAGGTCTAATCAATAATGACCTTTAATATGTACATCTGTTAATTCCCTACTATAAAATAGGATGTTTATGTAATACAAAGTTAGTCTGAGAGTAAGTCTTAGAAGGGCAACCCAAGCTATGAGTTAGTAACTGGATGCTAGTTTAAGAACCTATATTTACAGTGTTAAAATATTCATTATCAACGCAATTTTTTGGTCGCCTGCTCCGCTTTTTCTCTTGGTCATAGTGGTGCTGAAGAATGTATCGAATTTTCTCCTTTTTACCTCCAGTTTGGAAGGCTCTAACACACAACTGGATTCACTAAATACAAAACTGTTAAAAAACTGTTTTTAAAGTGTTATGTCATCTTTAAGTCGCAATATAGAAAGACAAGACACATTTGCTGTCAACTTCATGAAGATGGAAGAAAACAAAATAGATTTTAGATTTTGATACTTTTCCATTAGTGAAAAGCTAAAAATGCCACTAAAGTGGTATTATTCTGTACACGGAGTTTCTAAGTTTAGAAGCGATGATTTCAGCCTTAACGAAATCAAGACATTGCTCGAAAATAACGCTCACTACGCGACACGTGAATTAGCAGAGATAATAAAAATACCCAAAACAACCAACTACGAACGTTGTTTTTGAAGTTTGTTTACATAAACCGCTACTATGTATGTTTTTCGCACATTACAACGAACAAAAATCACGACTTACATTTCTTTTACTGCCCCAGGAAGAATGTTGATACTAATAATGCAATACCCGAAGAGTACTGCAAACACGTTTAATTTTTAGTCGGTGTTTAGTCCAATATTTGCACAATTCTCCAGAATTCAAAATTATGCATCAAGAGGATGATTATAACTTATTTCACTTGATTAAATCTGTCATTATCAAAACTATTGTGTCGCTCAGTGAACAATAAAACATGATACGTTAATCATCTGAAGATAGTATTATTGTCTTCGAAACATACAACTGACAGTGAAAGAGAATTTGTCCATTAAGCAGAAAAAATTAAAGAAAATACAAATGAAATTCCCAACGCACTATCACCGAAAATAAAGAATAAATAGTCATTCGATACGATTTCTTTATATTTGAATATTTTAAAATGTGTTTTTCCCCGTCTGGCATATATTACATTAAAAATTCGTTATTGCTTTAATGATGTATTCAAATTTAATGGGTTATTTTTTTCTTTAAATATTTACCTTTACCGATAAAAGAAAACCTCGGTCATTTTGATGCCCTAATTGGATTTAATCGAATTTGTTCTGAACAAATTTCCATTATTGCAACAATAAATTACAACATAAGTAACAAAAATAAAATTGCATACAGCTGTAAAGGACGTTCTGCCCTCTCCTCATTATTTTTTTTTTCAATTTCAATTTTTTGATATCAATACACAATTGTCGTGTCCCAGGGATGCAATTCTGGACAAAGTGGAATATTGTCTGGTATTGTCGTTGTGGAGTCCAAATAGTTGAGAATTTAATGAAATTTGTTTGGTTTTACATAACTTTATTCGTTACTTGGTCTTCTGCTGAGACTACACTCATCATATTAAGGTTTTACTGCGTGCGAGTATGCTTGTCTTCATAGTGTTGTTGTGCCCAGTAAAACCTTAATATGATGAGTATAGTCTCATAAAAACCTAAGATGAGCATAGTCTTAGTCAATCTTTTAAAGTATCTACATTGTCTTGGAAATGACCCCAAGAGTACCAATTATTATAATAAACTTGTGTTAAACCAATTGGATTATTTAATTCCTACAACTGAGACTCCTCAACGACAACACCAGACAATATTCTGTTGTGTCCAACCATTATTATTGTAATTGTTGTTATTAGTATAGTGTATTAACGAACTAGAGACATCCAAAGCGTCTCTTAGTCGCATTATTATATAAACATTAGGATAAAGGAATCTCTACCGTGATTAACTTTGGAAGTAGAATAACTATTTAGAATTAGTTTCAGTAAAACCTTCGAAGACTGATAGAGTCTTAGTCAACCTGTCGATTAAACTACATTGTCTTGGAAAGGGACCCAAGAGTACCAATTATAATAAACTTGTTTTAAACCAATTGAATTATTTAATTCCCAACTACTGAGACTCCACAACGACAACACCGGACAATATTCCACTGTGTCCAGAATTCCATCTCTGGGACACGACAATAGGTTCTACTTTATTAGTCTTTAAATGTTTTACTGAGACTAATTCTAAATAGTTATTCTACTTCCAAAGTTAATCAAAGTTAATTCTTATTACTACGGGGTGTGAGTTGTGATCGGGAGTAGGGTTTGTTTATGTTGATGATTAAGCGTTCCCACGGGAATCGATCTTAGTGGTTTTGTTTATTATAAGACCGGGACAAAATCCTATGCATTAGTTTATATGAACAAGATGATTGATTACGATTGTACGTGTAATGATTATTTTGTGTTTATAATAACGACTTGAATTCGGAGTAAAGATAAAAAAAACGGTTGTATTTTTCTCTAGGTCAAAACAATAAGTTTTTCCATTCCTCCCATGCAGCCCCTTTTAAAAATTATTTATATTTTAGTCTCAGTTGAAGTGAGAACATCTTACTTGGAGAGTCCATGGAAAAACACTTACTTCTTAATTATTAAGTTAAGAAGGGAATGTAACTCTTAGTTAATAATCAATGAGATCAATTAAGACGTAACTACGAGATAATCCACAGTGTCCAGAGATTTCATAATCCCGGGACACGACAATTTATACATTTCATATCAATTAAAATAATACTTAGAGACTTCTAAATAGTTTTTTTTTCTTCGTTTTTTTTTTGTTCTTCAATTATGTTATGCCATCATGTTTTTATTTATGTTTTTCATTGCAAACAATGGAACAATTTCTTTAATTTCGCAATGCTTTTGCACGTTTTTGCTGTTGCAACAATACGTGATGTTGATCATGTAGGTAAAATGTATAGCCAACAAAGTCCTTGTAGAACCAAAGATCTATCAAATATTCTCGTCTGTATCGACGCCACCCGATTCAATCGAAAACAAAATTATTTACTTGTTAAATAGTGTTCGTTATCGCACACACCAGACGACGTTTATCGCAAAATTGATCCTTCAATCGTCATTTATTGAAATTTCATAATTACATTCGATTATAATCACAAATCGTATCTGCCCAGGATAATTCTGATGACATCTCAGAATATATTACGTAAAACTCAACCAAACTCATTTGTAAACGTAACGTCAATTTTATTGTTTTTTTGAATTAGTGATTTGTCACAATTTTTGGAAGAAACAATATTTCATTATTAGGTTTTCTCTTTTAACTGAACGTTGTATTTAATTAAAAAAAAGTTATTTAAATGTAATTCAATTTTATTTCTCACACTTTCTCGTAAAATACACCGAAGGACGCTGTAAAAAACTTTTACTTTCATAATTGTTGTGTCAAAGTACGAGCGCTTTTCAACTCTTTTTTCTTATCTCACGGACTACTTGAACTTATAGCTAAACTTCCTTGGCACACTTGAATGCGTTATTGTGTTAAATTTGTATTATGATTGTTGCAATAACTATTATTATTTTATTATAATTTATTTAATGATTTTTATCAAATTTCATTGAAATAATTATATTATGTTATAATTGTAACCTAAAACTAAATTCAGAGAATGTATTATTGCTAATTTAGTGTATTAACGAACTAGAAACATCCACAGCGTTTCTTAGTGCATAAATATTTACAACATATAAAAGAACATCTACCGCCATCCCAGTTCAGGGGAACCAAGCGTAAACATTCCCATCGATACTCCTATACCTTTACTCTGAATTCAAGTCCTTATTATAAACACATAATGATCGTTACACGTACAATCGTAATCAATCATCTTTTTCATATAAACAAATGCATAGGATGTTGTCCAGGTTTTATAATAAACAAAACCACCAAGATCGATTCCCATGGGAACGTTTAATCATCAATATGTACAAGCCGTACTCCCAATCACAACTCCCACCCCGTAATAATAAGAATTAACTTTGTAAGTAGAATAAGTATTTAGAATTATTCTCAGCAAAACTTTTGTTGTAGCCAACCACTTTATTATTAATTATTGATATATGGATATAAGTACTATGTATACTCTTTATCTATGTAAGTACAGTCTTATGGAAAGCCCCCTCGAAAACCAAAGAAAGCCTATCGTCACTAGAAACATCCCCTTAGAGTAATAAAACCGTTTGGAGAAACGCTCTGTTTCTCATATTTTGTTACTTTTACGACCCATTTAGGTCATTATGTGAAAATCGGGCAACTAACTATAAAAACTATGCCACCCATAATTAACCTCTCCAAACAATTGTAAGCTGTATCACCTTTTAGACCTTATCAACAGCGGGAGACATAAACAAATCCCCGCCGGCGCCTAGGATTTACGTCCCTGCTCTTAGAATAGTACTTTGTACTCAGGACGACCTCTTACATATAAGACGACACTTATGTCATTTGAAGTTAGTTCCAGTTTGACTCTACTCTTGACCAGCAATCTATGATTGTAGCTACTGGAAGCTAGATTAAGAATCACCAGCAACTAAGCGTTAAATAAATACTATTATTACACTGACTTTAATCTAGACTCTTCCATAAAACCCACTAGGACTCCACATCGACAATACTACAAAGTATTCCACAGTGTCCAGAGATATTCCATCCCGGGACACGACACCTTTAAATATGAACATAGTAACATAATCTCATAAGAACCTTTGAAGACGAGCATAGTCTCAGATGAATATTAAATCTACCAAGTAACGAATAAAGTTATGTAAAACCAAACGAATTTCATTAAATTCCCTACAACTGAAACTCTACAACGACAACACCCGGCAATATTCTGTCGTGTCCCGGGATTAAGAAATCCTTGGACACCGTGGATTATCTCGTAGTTACGTAGTTACGTCGTTGAGGAATATTAAATGCAATATAAAAGGGTATGACCTTATGGAAAATGCAACCGTTTCTTTATCTAAGTTTTGTGATCCTACCCAAATATTTAGGGGCGAAAAAAATGCTGTTAAGTGGTGATACAAATAGACGCAACTATACGATTTAATGTGTAACCGTCGTTCGGAATATTCCACAAGTTATTCTAAATAATCACATACAAGTATCTGTTCGTATATTTGATGGATACGTTAAATATGATTTGTAAAATAAAGAGGAAAGTGGTAGACCTAACGAATATACATATTATACGATAGATGATAATAAATTGGTCGGTCACGACAATAATTCAACAGTGTCTAGAATTCCCTCCCTGGGACACGACACTACAAAAATACATTATTTACATAAATATACATTTCGAAATCACTCGAATTCACTTTTTTTCCCACGTTGATGCTATTTTGAATCTCTTTCTTTTTAAAGTTTAATTAGTCACCGTTAAACTTACATCAAGGGTCACATATAGACACATGATTATGTAAACAAAAGTTTTAGCTTTTTGAAATTCAAATAATAAGCGAATTTGCGTGATTAAATTATTAATTCACACGAATGCGTCATGTTAATATTTTTGTTTCAAATTATAATTTTAAACATAGAGATTGATATTCTGTAAAGATTACTGACAATAGTTTTTGTTAATCTATTCGATTTTGAAACTAAAAATATATGCAATTATTGCATTGACAATCGATTTGAATAATTATAAATATAATTTTTTTTTTAAAGAAACAATGGGCTCAATTCATTTGTACAAAATCAGAGTGACTTTCAACTTTGGTTCCAATTATAAATTATATTATACATTTAGGAGATGTCATGACATCTGCTTTTAATAATGTAAACCTTAATGAACTGACAATTCCGTAATTAAGGACAAGTGAAACTCTGGTTGCAGTCTGTATTAACTCTGTTTTGCAAACATTAATATAAAAATATTATTGTAAGCAAACAACCTTTGATAGAAACTTTCCAGAATGCTTGGAATGATGAATAGGAAATCGCAGCATCTGCACAATTCAGATAGTGTGGCTTATCGCGTTTTTATTTTCATAGTTGATTTTTTTTTAAATTTAACATCAATATTTACATATTTACGAATAATTTGTTTATTGAGAACAAATACATTTTTACAAAATATGACAATGGCGTGCACAGATGTATTTATTATAATTACAGTTTCTAATGTATATTATTCAAACATTTTACAAAATTTACATATTTTATAGGATAATGATCAAAGTGTTCGGCAAATTAATTTGTTTATTTTCTAATTGTAAAATCTCAACAGACTCTTTCAAATTAATATGATTAATTTGATCTTTGAAATAAGAGGATAGACATAGACACAAACTACTACCCTAATGCAAAATGGATCAATAACTAGATGCTACAGTAGGCAGCATCAGCGTTCAAAGCCGGTGGATATTGGTCGAAATTCAGGGTGATTGCGCATTCGCCATTACGGTTAACCAATGTTTATAACGATAAACTATTGACCGTTAATACAGTTGAGATCAGAATACAAGCTATATAAATATATTTTGTCCATCTAAAACTATTTCGTTCGTACATATAATAAATTAAGATATAATATTTTTTTCTATTTTCATTGCATTTCTTATAGATCGAAAGTTGAGTTGCTAGGGTATCTACCTTTTACGTAATTCACACTTAAATTATGTAGAAACTGAAGGACTTTCTAGTTTAAATGTAAATATCTTAAAATATTTAGATTAAATAATAATTAAAATATATAATTTAATTTTTACTTATGATTATTTTGAAAAAGAAAAAGACAGTATTAAGGATATTGAAATTGATAGATGTGAAAATGAATAACTTCTTCAATATGAACTGCAATTTCAGTAATCCACGATTCAGCCTGAATTGCGGAAATTGTTCGTCGAGGGTTTGCATAATTGATAGATTCATATTTTTTTGATGGCATAAAAAATTTGCTACGCCACTGGGCGTTGTTCGCCAATGCTGCCAACGTTACACCACCGAAATCACTACCGGCGTGTGTAATTAATCTTTGTTAGACAGAGGCATTTCTTTCCGTTGTGTTTACAAGTGTAATTGACGTATGTTGCGTTAAGCTAGGCATCAAGTTCTTCGTGCGTTCGTTCTGAAATAAAAAGAATTCCAATTTGTAGGTGATTGCAGCAAGGTAAATATTGTTGCAATTCGTAATCATACAAGATAATTGTCCTGCATGTGAATTCATAGTAGTTTGGCGTATATCAATTTATAGATCTCAGTTAGTGTACATAGACCGCAGAAAAAAAAGTAAACTAATAGAAAAATAAAACAAAAATAAGCTGAGATTCGGTGTCGCGGGAAAAAAAAAAATGAAGTAAGCGTAAATATTAACATAAAATGCCGGTTCGCATTTTGATTGTGCTACGTTTTCGGTTCATGTAAAGGACTCTCCACTGTTGCTAGAAAGGTTGCAAGTAATTAGAAATGTAAAACTATATATTAGATATAATATATAGATATATATCTTGCTTGATCATGTTGGTTTTGGTGTTTGGTTTTTTGATAGTGCAGATCTGATTTCTGTAGTTATTTTCATTGGAATTCATTTTCTTAAAAGGTATAACAAAAGTGCAATATATTAAAATCAGCTACTCCTCCTTTAGGTTTATAGAACTTCACAGTTTCGAGATTGGATGGAGTAGCTCTGTAAGTATAACCATTTTAATTTTGGTACTGTGGTTTACAGTGAAAATGCAAGAGGAGTGGTGTACCAGTCTCAAAACTCTGATAAAGGATGTATCAAAATTGAGCACCATCTGTGGTGACATTAAGTCCATCGAACAGACCTTAACTGACAGTGATCAGAATGGAAACAAGATTGATATTATTAATAAAACAAAACAATATATACTCGATTTGAAAGAAACAGCAGATAAAATATATAATACATTCAATACTGACTATGATAAATGGATACAGACTGAAGGAAACATAAATGTTGGTAAAATTAAATTAGTTGCTCTAAGTAAACTTATTGATCCTTTGATAGTAAATAACAATTCAGAGCATGCAGAAGAATCTGATCAAGATACTAGTTCAATTCAAGAAAACAATCAATCTGAAAAAACGCACAGCAATGAAACAAAAAATAATACTTGTGATGATGATAAAGAGAAGATTTCATCAAGTAAGAGGAAAAGCAACGAAACAGTTGCAAAAATTAGAAGCAGGGTGTCTAGAAAATCTACCAGAAATCTAAAATCATCATCTTCAACATGCAGCAGTGAACCGGAGAAGCAAAATAAATTAAACCAAACAATAGCAATTAGTGATTCTGACAAAGAATCAGAAAGTACAAAAAGATGTAATGAAAGCACTCCTACAAAATGCCTAACAGTTCATAAAAAGTCAAACAAGTTCGAACCAATTGGCAACAACCCTGATTCTGATAGTAATAACAGTGGTAGTGAAAAAACAAATTCTACTAAAGACAATACAAAATCAACTTCACTCAGTGAGTCTACCACTGAACCTGCTGATGATAATGTACATCAGAGTGAATCCACTAGTCTAAAGAAAAAAACAGATACAGCAGTTTCTACTGATACTGTACAAGAGTCTGAGAATAACACCACTGTCTCCAAGAATGATGAAGTATCCAAAAGTAAAGATAAAGTAACTAGTAAATCTTCCATTGACTCAGAACAAGTGGATAACCCTAAGAATGAGAAATCTGATGGGTCCAGTTCCTCAACATACAATGAATCAGATAGTGATAGTACAAAAAAGAGGAAAGAAATGGAATCCAATATCAATAACATTTTGGATAAATTAGTTGATTCTCAGTCTGAATCAAGTACAGATCTGGAATTGAACAATTCTGATTGTGTCAGAAGCACAAAGAAAAGACGAACTAGAAAGAATAAAGCTGCAGTTGCTTCAGATATTAAAGATCCAAAATTCCAGTGGAAGTGTTTTGTTCCTTTAGATCGAATTCCTGCTCAAGAATTAAAGGCTAATTACATGAAAAAACAAGGAGAGTTAGAGTTAAAAAGGTTAAAGCATTTTTATTTTTATTTTACCATACCCAGTGTATATCTTTTATGTTTGCATCTTCACATTGATACTTACTATCTCAAAACATGTTTTATTTTAGTTAATGTTAGATGCAAGCACAGGAGTTTTTTTTAATTATTTATATATACATTTAATATTTTGCTAGCAATAAATAGTTTAAAGTGTTTTTGTAATGTTTCAAATATGAAATTAAGTAGAATTACCTTGTTATTAATTTTCTACAGGATCAATACTCATCTAAAAGCTTCATTATTTTGAAAAATAGAACTATTGGGATTATCTCACATATATTTAAAGATGCGAACAAAAAAAAATCTAATATTTTTGGTTTAGATTATCCAATATGAAAACTTTGAAACGTACTCGAAGATCGGGCAGTACATCCACGGAATCCACGGCATCTTCATCGTCTGAAAAGAAAAAGATTGTGAAAAGAAGTCGCAGGAAATCTTCGTCATCTTCTAGCAGCAGCCAAAAGTCTGACAATGATAACGAAACTGTGCAGAATAACGGCGAAGAAATCGAAGTGCTAATTGATAAAGACGTTGCCGATTTCGATGATAATGATAGTAACGATCTTGATCATGCAATCATAGATGCTATTCAAGATAAAGATGGTAGCGAAGAAAGTACGTCAACTGATACTGAGAAGGTGAAATTGCAAATGAGGTATTATGAATCGTTATTAATGTTTGATTATCTTTTAGAGCGAACCTGAAAAGAAAAAGAAAGAGAAAACTGTTGATCCAAGCGCCGATGAAAACGATAAGGACAAGGTAATGATTATTAACTTATAAGATTGAATCATTTTTTTAATTTTTTTTTAGAAGAAACAAAGTTCTTGGAAACGCGATAAATTGCTAACAGAAAAGTTGTCAGAGAGCGACGATGAAGATCCGTTCGAAAGCATTAAGAAAGTTCGGGAAAAGTATGTTTAAAGATTTTTTTTAACTTTTCCATTAATTACTCTTAATTGTAGGATAAAGAAGAAACAGAAACGTGTGATATCAGATTCTGAAGAATCGAATGCTAATAATGATGACAGCAGCAAAAGCAGCAAATCATCAGATGAATCAGAAGATGAAAAGAAGAAAAAAGATGACAAGTATGAAAAGCTATTTCTTATTTCCATTGTTTTTTTTTATTAAATGCATGTTTGTTTTAGGAAAAAGAGAAAAAGGATAAAGCGTGTTAAAGATAGCAGCGACGATGATGATAAAAGCACAAGGAAACATATTAGAAAAGTAACTGTCATAGTGATATTGTTGAATGTGGTTATGTAATTGTTTCGTTTTGGTTTTTAGGTTTTAAATAAGGATTCTTTGGCTGAAACCACGAAGCAAGCAGAGAAAGATGAAGCGGAGAGAAAAGCTAGAATCGCCGAACGCCAAAAGAAGGTATTTTCACCAAATTTTAAATTACTATATATGAACATAGTAGCGTCTCGATGACCATTCCAAAAGAATATTATTTTTGTTGTTTTATATACATTTTTAATAAATGTTTTTATTTATTATTCATAATTATTAACAGTTTTTCTTTTTTTTATCATCGTTATGTATACTTTACATTCCATTGCAAGTTAATCCTTCACAAGTTTTTGAATGGAATAACGAACGTTTGATTGAAAGTACACGCATCTTCTCTAATTTTCGGCAACTCTTGATCTTGGCTTCTCACTGTCGATTTGTTGCAAGATTGCAGGTTTCCAAATATACATTCCACTAATAACACCTAATATCGTAGCAAAAAAGAACTTAATTGTGGATTGATTGAATTTCATTGCACAGATTTTTTATATTCCACTGACAATTGGCGAAAACCTGTCACGTTATTGTTTTTTTTTCTTCTAGTATAATCATATTTTTGATGCTGATAAATTGGAAAACAGTTCTCTGAATAAAGTAGTGTTGGATTTCAATGAAGAAACCAACGAAGAGTTATTGGCTGTGGACGAAGAGCTGGTTAAGAAACTGAAACCTCATCAGGGCAAAGGTGTGCAGTTCATGTGGAATGCATGCTTCGAATCGATCGACCGCGCCAAGAACACGACCGGATCAGGCTGCATCCTTGCCCATTGCATGGGTTTGGGTAAAACTCTTCAAGTAAGCACGCTTCGATCAATTAATGGGCTTCCATTCTTATAATTTTTAATTCGTAGGTGATAACTTTGATTCATACATTGCTGAAGAATAAAGAGAAGTCGGGAATTAAAAAGGTATTGGTGGTATGTCCATTGTCCACTGTGTTGAATTGGGTGTCAGAATTTAAGAAATGGTTGCCCGACGACGATGAGGTCGAAGTTTACGATTTGATCTCTTCGAAGCAGAACAGGGACAGATCTTCCATGACTACAACATGGCATTTGAATGGTGGCGTGTTGGTGATCGGTTACGATATGTTCAGGAACCTGTCCAATAACGCTAACAAGCGTATTCCCAAGAATATGCGTAACGATTTCAAGCGGAATCTGGTTGACCCGGGACCTGATATGGTCGTATGCGATGAAGGACATTTGCTGAAGAACGAGAAGACTTCACTCAGTATTTCGATGAACAAGTTGAAGACGCTAAGGCGTATCGTATTAACCGGCACACCTCTGCAGAATAATCTCAAGGAGTATTTTTGCATGGTTCATTTTGTTAAACCGAGTTTATTGGGTACTTACAAGGAGTATTTGAATCGTTTCGTAAACCCCATCACTAACGGTCAGTATACGGATTCTACCCAGCACGATATACAGATCATGAGAAAGCGCTCGCACGTCCTGCACAAACTTTTGGACGGAATCGTCCAAAGGCGTGATTATTCAGTATTGGCCCCATTCTTGCCACCGAAGCATGAGTACGTTTTGTTCGTAACACTCACAGAGACCCAAATCAACATGTACAGTCACTACATGAAGGAATTTGCACAAAAGCAGAACGGAGGACGCATGTCCTTCCTTTTCGTTGATTTCCAGGAACTTCAAAGGATATGCACCCATCCGCGAGTTGTGTTTGATAGAAGTGTTAAAAAGAGGATAGAAGATGAGAAAAAGGTAAAACAGATGATCATCAAGTGCATGAAATATAAAGATATTTTTTAGGAATGGGCTAGGGACGACGAATCAGAAGGTTCAATAAAAGACTTTCTTGACGACGGCTCAGATTCGGAAATCTCTGGAAATTCATCATCGTCTTCATCCTCGAAAGAGGAAGAAGAAGCTCCACAACAAAAAAGCAAGTTCAGGAGACGGACAAGGGCTATTGCAGAGGCCGAAGGTAATTCTAAATATTAATTTAAAATCGATTCATTAATTTGTGAATACTTGTTAGGTCCACTCGAGGAAGAGGTTGTAGATGTTGAAGACAGCAACCGTAAGGGAGAGTGGTGGAGTCAGTATACCACTAAAGACGAACTCGATAACATAAAGTATAGTGGAAAGTTACACTTATTATTCGAAATATTGCATCAATGTGAAATGCTGGGCGATAAAATGTGAGTTGTTGGTTTGGGGAAATTCTTAAATTGTTCCTTGATTATTATTCATTTTTCTAGATTGGTGTTTTCTCAGTCGCTGTACTCTTTAAATGTGATTGAATATTTTTTGTCAAAAATTGATGAAGCCTCACAGAGCGACGAAGAGTCTGATCTTTATTGCGGCTATAAGAGTTCATGGTCTTTGGGTCTGGATTATTTCCGATTGGATGGTAGCTCTTCATGCGATAATCGTGCAGCTTGGTGCAAGACGTTCAATGATCCAGAGAATATTCGTGCAAGGTAATAAAAAAATGTCCCATCGTTTAATTATTAACTTTTAATATTCCATATTTTTTATAGATTATTTTTAATATCTACGAGAGCCGGTGGATTAGGTATTAATTTGGTAGCAGCTAATCGCGTTATTATTTTCGACGTATCTTGGAATCCATCTCACGATATTCAAAGTATATATAGAGTGTATCGTTTCGGCCAAACCAAACCTTCGTACATTTACAGATTCGTAACATACGTAAGTTTCTATAATACACTTAAACTTTTAATCATTACAATTCATGATTTTCAATGAAGGGTACAATGGAAATGAAAATTTATGAGAGACAGGTGACAAAACAAGCTATTTCCAAGAGGGTAATCGACGAACAACAAATCGATAGGCATTACAACCAAAATGATCTGAACGAGTTATACAAGTCAGTATAAAATGCATATATTAAAATGTCGTCATTAAAATTTATTCATTTAGATTCGAAATCGCATCTGAAGAGCGGCCAATTCCTCTGGTGCCAAAGGATATTCTTCTAGGAGAAATGCTTCAGAAACTTGAGAAATTAATTTACAAGTATCACGAGCATCAGACTCTTCTCGAAAATAAGGTGGACGAAGTTTTGAACGAGGAAGAGCGGAAGGCGGCTTGGGATGAATTCGAGAACGAAAAGAAGAATCGCAATATGAACAACATGAGTAATTCATATCCAAATGATTCCTATTTAGCAATTATTTACAATCTTTTATATTGCAGTTCCAGGCTTTGCAGGACTTCAATCTCTTCCGCCGCAGACGATACAAACTGCTCTTATTAGTATCATTAAGAAGGAGCAGCCGAGCTACACAATAAACGAGATAAACGGCGTCATGCCACAGTTGTTGCAGGAATTAAATTCCCAAATGGCTTGCGGCGAATTGACGGTATGCAATAACGTAACATTCCCGAAGAAGTGATATTAATTAATCGTTTGTTTTGACAGTTGTACACGAAGGTCGTGAACGAACTGAAGATGATGCAGTTCCAATTACAGCAACAGAAGTTGCAGGAATACTATCAACAGCAACAAATGCTGAAAATGATGCAGCATCAGTTTAAGAATTCGCAGAATCCTAACGACGCCCTCAGGTTAGCAGTTTGAGTTAACATTTGTAACTGTCCTTAAATAATTAATTTCGATTTGCATTTAGGATGATGCAACGATGGGCTCCTAATAATGCCAATCCTCAATCCGGCGAATCGTCTACTAATAATAGGCCTGTCACAATTGACCCAGAAATAGTCAGTATAGATGACTGACCTTCATAGAAAAGACAGAAGAACTATACATAATATTTATTATTTATTGTTTTAATGGATGTTCTAATTCTGTATATAGATATTTTTTATGTACTCCTGATGTCCCCCTCAACCCCCTCTGAATCTTATTAGTATATATATATATATTGATTTTGTTTTGTTCCTTCATAAATTATTTTATTTTTTTAATAATATAATATTACATAATAAATTCTGTGGATCTTAATTTTTTTTTTTAATAAAATTGAAATTATGTTGTGTTCGCTTCCTATTGTATGTTTCGTTACAATTTTTTTTCATGTGGCATCCCTATAAGGACGTGCTTAAGAATTAGATAATAGCGTATAAACATATTTACATTTGATTTGTATGCATTTCGTTCCATAAGTGAATTTATGATTATAGAATAAATTATAACTGTGCAATTTTCTGAGTTTATTTTTGTACTAAATAAATCGAGGAAACAGTTGTGAAAAACAAATTTAATAATAATACTAATGAATTCGTATACATTTAGTTCTAATAAAATGTATACATATATTTGTTTCTTTTTTCGGAAATCCTCATAATTTTAAATAACCTGATTAAAACTTAATTTCATTTTTGATAGAAAAGTTTTTCAAAAATGTAAATTAAGTAAGAGCAATCATTTTTAAAAGGGTTTATATTTGAATCTTTTTTTATATTAATGGAATATAAATTAAGAAATCAATGTTTTCACGTTTATTTAATCCATTATGAATTCAAGGGGAGTACATAAAATGCTGACAGTTCTGCTGATTAATCTGCACGTTCTTGCATCATATATAAAACTAAAGTTGTGTTGTTTTTCAAATTATTAAGGTAAGATGTTACTTTGAAAATTTGCTTCTTGTATTTTTTTTTAATATTTTAGAAAAAAAAACTTATTTAGTAAGAAATATAAGTTTTTTATTATCAACAAATACGGGTAACATGTATAATGAAATTTGTTATTTCCCTTCGCTATCTTCTATTGACGGTCCTCACGACATTGGACATCCCGTCTATAAATTGCGTACGGAATAAAACATTGGCGTTATTGAACATACCATCTTTCAATGAGACGATAATAAACTGAAATAAAAATATAGGATTATTGAATAGTATTAAGAAAGTGAATTAATCGTACTTGAGACTGTTTAAAGTGACTTTTCAGCATATTTCCGATGTTCTGTGTATGCGACAGATCCAGGGCGGCGTCGACTTCATCTAAAATATACAATGGTGCCGGTTTGAAGAGCAACATGGAGAGGATAAGTGAGAGTGCGACCAATGATCGCTGCCCGCCGCTGAGCTCCGTCAGACTTTCCTTCCAGACCCCGCCCAGATTTACTTTAACCTCCAATCCCTGAAGAATGGTTTTACCGAATGGCGGAGCCAACGAAGCGGAGGAGCCAGGCAAGAGCGATCCGAATATAGATCCGAAATCTTTTTTGACTTGAGTGTAAGCCAATTGGATTGCTTCCTCCTTCTTTTTGTCTAGATCCTCCAATATTTGCAGAAGCGATGCGCGATCTTGCTTCACAATCTTATACTTCTTCATCAGCGTCGTGTACTGATTAAAGAAAACTTGATATAAAAAATATGTTTATGTAAGGGAGGGGGGGTTTAAAATATGAGGTTTTACATACCCTTTTCTCTTCTTGGTCGAACATGCTTTGAGCTTTAGAATTGACGGTTCTACCCAACTTATTGTGTTTGTCGGAGGCCGATTTGATTTTGCCCTTAAGATCGTCCGCTTCTGAATCCTGCATTTCTTGAGCTCTCTGCAGATTCTTATTGTCGATATTCTGCATCGTATTTGCTATATTTGTTTCGTTGGTTTGTGCTTGTTTATACTCCTGCTGCAGTTTCTCAAGATCGTGGCCACATTGTTTCACATCTAATTCGAGTTTGTAGTTTTTGGCCACAAGCTTCTCCTTTTCCGCCAATTTACCCTGAACTTCTTTGTTTTTTAAAGCAATCTCGTTCTTCTCCTTTTTCAGATCATCTCTGTTCTCCTTCAACTCGGCATTTATTTCCGCGGCTTCCTTCTGTATCTCCAAAAGTTCGTCCTTTAATCGCACAACATTCTCTTTGGCCTCCTCAATTTGCTTCAGCGTAGCCTCGATGGACTTCTTTAACTCGATTATCTCCAAGTTGAGCATTTCGTATTCCTGTTCGCGTTTCTGCCACTCTTTTCTACTCTTCTCTGACTGAGCCTTCATTGCGTTCATTTCCTTCTCAGCCTCCTTCAATTGACGTTCTTTGTAACCATGTGAATCACGCATGATTCCATCCAGTTCCTTTGTTTTTGCGCTGCACCTCTTCTCAGTCTCCTTGCAAACGTTCAATTTTTCAGTTAGTTTTGCTGTAATATAAATCAATTACTATAAATTGAGTATCTTAATGGCAAGACATACCAATATTTTCTCTCAAAGATTCAACTTCCTGTTGAAGTATGTGATGACTAGTTTGTTGCAAACACCTCTTCACATTTTCCAACTCCATCTGCTTCAACTCTAGTTGCTGCATCATTGGATTATAGCTACTCTGTTTAACATCTGTCAATCTCTTGTAGTCGGCGTCGACTTTCCGAAAGATATTCTCTTTTTCACGTACGTTATTCTTTTAAATCATATAATTAACAATTAATTTAAACGTAATTTGCCATATTTACCTCTAATTTTATGACTTCATCAATTATCTTTAGCAACGGAGTTCCTTTCTGCATGGCACCTCCACTCAAAACACCGCCCGGATCGGTCACATCGCCATCCAAAGTGACGCACTTCTTCCTGATTTTATCGTGGAACGTGACCTTCTTAGCCACATTCATATCCGTACAAATGAAAGCTCCACCAAAAATATAAACCATAGCAGCGTGCAATTTTGGATCGTACTTAATCAATGAAAGAGCGGTGTGAATGTTGTCTTTCCCTACCTATTCGAATTACACAATTTGCAATTAAACTAAACTGTTAAATTATTAAAACATACCAGATTTTCCGCGAATTTTACAGTGTTGTTATCAATCTTTTCGCCGCGTATCTTGTTCAGGGGAATAAACGTTGTTCTAGTTTGCAGATTACCCTTTTGTAGAAGCAATTTACTGGTAATATCGTCTTCCACTACGACGTTGTACAGCTAAGTAAGAAATATAAATATTTATTAAAAGATATATTGCTATAATTATTAGGAATTACTCTGGAACCTGCGACCGTCTCTAACGCAGTGCAGAATTTCGGATCTACAACCTCGAAGAGTTTGCAGATGATGCCGTGGACACGAGATCGATTGAAATTAGTCTCCGGATCGCGATACGTAAACCTTAGATTCGGACGGCGTGATTCGATTTCAAAAACTTTCTGGCGATCTACACGAATCCCGTCGTGCAGCTCCTTCCAGCTTTCGTGCAATTCAGTAAATCGCTCCTCGTTGAAATTCAATTTGTTCAGCTTCGTCTGCAAAATAGAAATGAAATCAATTACATATATATATTTCGAATGAGTTAAACTCGGTACTCGCCTCAAGGTTTTCGAGATCTTTTGATACTTGATTCATGCTGGCTTTGTTCCTATTATAATCAGACGAATCCGTGCCGAGTTGTTTCTCTTTCACATTCAGCTCCTTCTGGCAGTGCTGCAGTTCCATGTTGGCCGTCTTCATCTCGGTGATAGCAGTATTAGCCTCCTGTCTGGCGTTCATCAGTTGCTGATGCAGAGATTCCGACTCTCCTGCTTCGTTTATCTCCATGCCGTTGCAAATGGCCATATACTTTTTCTGGGAATGCGCGAAAGCCGCCTCATCTCGCTCATCGTTTTTTTTTAGCGTTTCAAACATGCTCTGCGTTTCTCCCATGTATTGCTCTTTTTTCATCATCGTCGTTTTATCATCCTTGCAACTCTTATCCATTTGCGCTATATGTTTCTCCTCTGCGACAATATTATCCTTCGCAGATTTTTCTCTTGCAGATACTTTAGCCTCCTGCTTTTCGATCTCCTTGACGCGCTCTTCTAATATTTGCACGTTGTTGCTTCCTTCTGCCTCATTCCTTGTGCTAAGCTCTTGGACCTCTTCCATAATTGCAGCAATACCAGCCACATTCCCTTCAATATTCTCCTTGATCTTAGATACTTTTCCTTCGTAGGCAGACAACTTTTCCTGCGCCATCACAGTTTTCTTCTTGGAAGAGAAGAACAGCCAGGATTGATATAAATTGGTCATATGTTCAAGCTCTCTTGCAACCCTTTGATACTCCAAGTATGCTTGCCTCTCGTTGCGCAGCTTCTGAAGTTTAGGATTAAGCTCTTCACTAATCACACCCTGCAGTTCATTCAGTTTTGCGTCTTTCCTCTCAATGCATTTCTGTGTCGACTGCCTTTTCGTTTCGTACATTCTTGTACCCGCAGCTTCTTCTAACATCGCTAAAATCTAGAAAATATTAATGTTTTCAATTTCAATTCAATTTATCCAATATTTCAATAGAACTTATTTTAAATAGTAAATACTAATAAATTACCTCAGGTGGCTTCATATTCAGTACTTTAGTGACTCTTCCTTGCATTATCAGAAAGTGAGGATTGTTTACATTTAACTGTACAGAACAAAACAAGTCCTGTACCCGCTTATTCTGCACAATGCTCCCATTGATCATGTACTTATTCTTTCCACCCATAATAACCTGTCTTGTGACAGTAATTTCATCCATATTTTCAAACCCGGAAGGACTCTGTGCTCTATCAGAATTATCAAAAGTCACAGAAACTGTAGCCTTTGTAACACCAGCTTGACCATTCTTAAAAATTAAGTCCTGGAGGCTTGCAGCTCTCACCTAAAAAATTAAATAAATATTACATTCTAAGAAAAATATAGAACTCAACTTACATGTCCTAAATTTGTTATACCTAAAAGGAAGCATATTCCATCCAATATATTAGACTTGCCAGTACCATTCAAGCCAGTAATGGCATTGAACTCCTTATCAAAACCATTAATTTCAACTCGCTTTCCATAGGATTTGAATCCATCCAGTACCATATTCTTTATATACATTGTTTAATATCTGATTGGAGCTTGATCATATAAATAATTATTCAGCTTTTTTGTTTCTATACACTGCACTATTGTACACACTTACAGAATTAGAAAATTCACAAATAAAACAAAGTACATATAGCTAAACATACAAAATAAAAACCACTGAGTAAAAATCCGGTTAAAACAATAAAGCAGAAAGCGCGCCTTCAACCGCCATATCTGTCAAAAAGTACTGTCAAAATTACAACTATAAACAAGTATTCAAATTTAAATGTATACATGTATTGTTAGTTGCCGATTATATATAAAAAGTTAAAAATTAATGAATAATATTTAAATTAGTAATGATCGGATTATTATTATATAATTCTTGTCTGCTGTATTTTGATGATTTGATCATTATATGATACTTTATATATATTTTTTTTTTAAATTTGTTTGCTTATTTCTAAATAAGTGTCGCCAACCAAAATATCAATTTTAATTAATTTCAAGCAAAGTAGTGGTTGGTAGTACTTCTTGTAATTCATGTAATTGTAAGTAAACAGCAATAAGCAGCTTTCATTGGTTTTCATCATTTTTCATTGGTTTTCGTGTTTGGAGAAGGTTTGTCAATTTTTGTTATTATTAGCTTCGCTCAGCTGATTTTTAGTTAATGTACAATAATTGAAAATAATGATAGAAAAAACAATTTCAAGTTCATTTGTGTTACGATTTATTTAGTTTAGTTTATGTAACAATTGTTAAAGGTTATATATTATTGTTGTTGTTTGTATACAATGAATTGTTACAACTTTTAACTTTAACAATGTTTATGTGTTTTCTATTCTCGGTTTGATATGCAACAAGTTGATGACAGTGGTATTATTTGTTAATAAAGTATTGCAGTTGATCATATCTATCGACAATGGCTGAGTTTGCATTGAAAATCAAGACATTGACAGACAATAAGTTAGTGCCAGTGCAGTGGAGTGAAGAATTATCAGCCGAAGATGTATGCATTACGTTGTGCAAGCAGCTCAACATCAGCACAGTTGCAAGACATCTTTTTGCTTTGAGGGAATCAACAAAGTGTGTGTATTTGCATCCTTCTGCAACTTTTGAGCCTAAATCCACATCTACATTTGATTTGAGAATAAGATTTAAAGTTGGAGATATCTTGTGGCTGAAGAAGATTGATATTAAAGCTTTCGACTACTACTTCCATCAGGCCAGAAATGATGTGCTGGATAGTAAGATTCCAGACTTGGTATTTGAGAAATACAGAAGAGAACTGATGGGATTGGGTGTAACAGATATGTATAGAGTGATGTTGGAGAAGGACATACCCCGGGAATCTGTGGAGAGTGAATACAAGAAATATATACCTAAAGAGGTGCTCAAGAAGCATATGTTCTTCATCAAGAAACCAATACATGAAATTTTAGGAAAAATTGGAAAATCTGGTCACGATGCTTGGTAATTATTTTCTTATTCAACTTTTCTTGCCTTGATCTGAAAAGATTTTACTTTGTTATAATTGATAAATAATGATCCACAAATCTTTGATCTTCTCATTTCAAGACATATTTGAAAAAAAAAACAATAATTATTTAATTAACTAATTTTTTCATCAGTTTAGTTCCTTGTATATTTATGTATATACATGATTGAATCTAATTTTAGAAATGTTAACAATTTACTTTTGAAATAGTCACTTAATTATCATGTTTGTCAATGAAACTAGTTTGTTATTATAAATCAGTGCAGTAATTTAATTGATTCAATTTCTAGGTATGTAAAGGAGGAATATTTGAAGCAGTTAGAAATGATGTCATCAGATTATCCGATCGAGGAATACAAAGCTTTAACAGATCAGAATGGTTCTTTGGTGCATATAATTATTAGAGTTACTCCATTCCACCCCACTGAACCCGGCGTAAAATACTGCATAGACTCCAAACGCGAGGTAAATATATGTTTTGAAAAATTGTTAAGATAAATGAACAATCATTAATTCTACTATTATAATGCTTTTTTCCATTCGTTATCTCAAGGCTATATTTTGTTTACTTACAATGTATTTCAGTACTTATTTGCATATTATTTCTGTTAAGGTCACGAGATTTATTACTTTAATTGATTTTCTATTTAAATGTAATAGTTTTTTTTTTTCATTTCAGAAATGGGTTTTAATATGTTCGATTGAAGAGTTGGGTTTCATATCAATAAGGATGGATTGCACTGTGGAAATATATAGGAAAAACGGTATTCCTTTTTACATGAAATTCACAAGTCTATCGAAGATGTATTCATTTGTCAGCCTATTAGATGGTTACTATAGGTTGTCAGTAAAGTGGACATTTAACATTTGCAAAGAAGTTTCCACACCTTCACTGCAGAGATTACAGGCCATGAAGTGTCATGGTCCTGTTGGGTAATGTATTTTATTTTATATATAGAAATATTTCGCATAGTACACATTAATTGGTAATTGGTTCCGTCCATAATCAGGACTTTTTGAAATCTGCAAAACCGTATTATGCGAGGTATTTCTTTAATTTGTTTAGGTATATCAATTTTTTTTTATTACAATATTATACAAACTATAATTGTATCATCATTAACTAAAATTTATTCTTTATTTTTAGGGGTGAATTTTCTTATGCAAAACTTGAAGAGAAACGAGGGAACAAACCTGGTTGTTTTATTTTACGTGAAAGTGAATCCAAATATAATATTATTTTCGTGGACGTTTGTATGAAAGACAGGTAACATTATAAATGTTTATATTTGGAAATCAAAAATAATAGTTTTGTTATTATATTAATATAACAAATTAATATTACGTTAAATAACACATTAACTAATAAATCCATTATTTTTTTCAGTTTGAAACCAAAAACATATAAAATCGAAAGACTGAGTGAAGAAGAATTTATATTCAACGACGATTTAACTAGGTACAGTAGTATCGGCCAATTGATGAGTTCCTATGGAGATCCCCAAAAACCGATTTACCTCTTGGAATGTTTGCCTCCGTCGGAATACGGTAAATAAATCAAATATTGAAAATGCACATTCATCATATAAGTAATTGTATTACAGATAAATCTCCTCTTTTACTGTGCAAAGAGGTGAACATGTCCGGAGATTCGCTTACGGACGGCGCCGAAGACACATCGATCCCGTCGGTTCCAGTCTGCATAAACATCAAAGATCTCCAAGTCTACAAAAGTAAGTGAATTTTGTTTATTTCTATTGACAGTTTCTATAGTAAACTGTTTACTTTATGCTTAAGTACATGATGAAGGATTTTGTGTTTACGTTTTTGGTGTTGTTAAAATGTTGCGTTTGTGAAAATATCCCTGGAAATTTAACGAATTTGGACGTGTGTAAAGTGAGTCACATGGGTTTAGATTATGTCGGATATATTGCTAGCACTGAATCTCATGTACGTTGTCAGGCGTGGAACAGCCAAAACCCGATACACAAAGTGCATGAATCGTATACAGACGATAAATTTCCGGACTTCTCTAAGGAGAAGGCAAAAAATTACTGTAGAAACCCTAGCAGAAGCATGAACGGTCCTTGGTGCTATTCCATGGATCAGCAACTGATTGATGACACATGCGCTATACCACTGTGCATGTTCAGCGAATGTCGTTTGACCGGTCCTGGGATGGAGTATGCTGGAAAACACAGCAAATCTATATCAGGTATTAAACGAAACATCGTTGTATAATACTAATTCAGTTTTGGATTTAGATAGTAATTGCTTGAAATGGGATAAGAAACGTAAGCATGTTAAGATCAATAACACGGTTATTAGTATGGAGAAGTTCGACAAATATCGGTTTCCGGAGATCAATCTGTCTACGGCAAAGAAACAATGCAGAAACCCGGACGGCGATTTGGCCGGTCCTTGGTGCTTCGTGCAGTTAGAGGATTCGGTGAAAAAGGAATACTGCGACCTTCCTTTTTGCGATGATCAAGACTGCATGGTTTTCACTAGAAACAATTCAGTTTACGGACACTACACTAATTTCCCAAAAGATTTAACTGAATTTACTTTTGGCGTAAAGCTTTGGTATATGCTATTTATGTCAAAGTAAATCGAATATTATAAAGTCCTCTTTTTATAGGGATCCTGATTCCTATACAAAAGCTAAAGCTCGTTTGGTACTTTCGCTTTTAGCTCTTCCGGTCGATGGAAAAGAGCTGGATCATTTAGGATCGGCCATTGAAATATTACTTAGTAATAATAAGAGTACTTTGCTCGGTGGAAATAAAGACGAGCCCGAATACGAATCAACTCACGGTATTTTAAAAGCATCTGAGTATACGTTCTTTACTTTGAGCTGGGATCACGGGTTTTTGACGTTAAATCGTGTCAACCATACTAAACCGATTTTTCTTCAAGAATATAAGACCAAGAAAAATCTTTTAGGTCATTATAAGGACAAGTTCCGGTATTATGCGGCTCAAGGGGATAACGTTATGTGGAGTTTTCCGTTCTGCGACGACGATAATAATTATTGCGACGTGCATACGACCGGAACATCGAAGTTTCAACAGTTTTGGCCTCTGCGAGAAACCGACGTTGGTCATGATTTAGTGTTTCAACTTAGGGCTTTTCATTCGGCGAATATCCTCTTAGTTCCGAGTCCCGTATTGGACTTTCCAAATATTAAAATATCTTTGGGAAAAAGCGACAATTACACGCGAATAATGTGCACTGAATTTGAGAAAGGACCGACTCTAACTTTATTTGAGGGAATTTTTCCCAAGTTGTTAAGCTATTGGAAATGGGGTAAATTTTCTTTAACTTTATTTTCCGACACGTTGCATTTCTTCTGGAAGCGAGATGTGGGAACTTTTATGATCATGGAAGTTAAACATGATATAATCAAGTTGGTTAGATGGTTCTCTTCAAGTTCGGATAATTCTGTTGCTCATTGGACGTTTTTTTGTGAGCCTCCAGTGCATTCAGCTCCTCCCCAAGCTTTTTTACCGGAATGCTCGTTGAATGCCAAAGATACAAACTACATGGGCTCGCAAGACGTAACCAGTACAGGTTTACCCTGTTTACCATGGTCTGCAAAGAAATGGATTCCTGATAATGTATCAAATAAATTCAAGGATTCTCCAGAAGTTCTCTTGGATATGGTTAATTATTGTAGAAATTTCAAGCACGAAACTGAGGGTAAATATCGCAAATATTAGTCAATCATGAGCTACTTAATAAAATTATGTAGGAACGTATTGTTATGCCGTTTCGGAGAATGGCGAAAAACGCGTGGATAAGCATTACTGTGGGATAAGAAAATGCAAGTCTGCCGAGTGCAGAATGGCCGGAACTGGTAACGATTACATTGGTAAGGTAAGCGTTACTCGTTCGAATCGTACTTGCCAATTTTGGAAAGCTGATTTACCGATTGATTTGGTTAAAAAGTATTATCAAGCTAAACACAAAACAGATCCAGATGTACAATTTGAAGATTACTTGTTAAAACCTACTTTTAACGTTAGCGAAATTCCATTAACAAAGAATAAATCTATGTCCATTTTACCGGATCTTCTCGCATTGTTAAATAATTCTTCGAAAACAACGACTACGGCTAGAAAGGAAATCAGGGAGCTAAACGAAATAACCTCGAATTCCACGAAAGTGGTAGAAGTATTGAAAGATATCACAGAAGAGATAAAGAGTTACATTAACGAAAGTTTAAGCGAGAAATTGAAGTTCGTTAAAGTGCATAACGTTGAATTGGGCCACTTAAATGATACACTTTTTGCGGATATGTTAGCAGAACGGGCACAAAATTTCTGCAGAAATCCTACTCGCAGTTTAGCAGGTCGAATTTTTGTATTTTGAGAAATCCGCATATTACAATATCGGTTTCAGGTAGTTGGTGTTACACAATGGACAAACTTGTACCTAAAGATGTTTGTAATGTGCCAGATTGCGATAGAAACGAAGAGTGCACTGTGTTTGTTAAAGGAGACGGCCAAGGTGATTGATTGTCTAATGGAATTTGCGAAAACATTGCGGATAATATTGTATTTCAGGTCGCGACGTTTTTATTCTGCCACAATGGAAAGAGCAAGGTATTCATGGCGGTTTGAAGTTCTCTGTCAAGCAGTGGAATCCCGACGTTGTTGAGGGTTTACAATTTGAAATCAGATCGTTCATGCCTAATCCCAAGTTTAAGCTAGTAATAGGAGCAGATTATAACGAAAAAATTATATTGTATCGAGATGGTGTAAAAGTTAAAGAGAAAACGCTGCCGCATATCATTCCTGCGGGGAAATGGGCTTCTCTCTGGTTCCGAATTCGGCGAGGGGAATTCCAATTGGGATACGAAGGCGTCACCAATACTTTGTTCGAATGGATCAGCGAAAATACTATTAGGGAATTCGTTCCCGTTTATGTGAATTTCATGAGTTTGTACGGTAATACTCTTGGACTTTTTTTCAAATGCGAAGAATGCCACACTGAAAACACGACCACCCATCATTACGGGAAGATTATGCCTATTGGGATATGGACTGTAAATGAGCAGGTTTATTATAAGAATTTGACGTTAACGTTAAGGGGTTCTGGAGATGTTAAGATTCGTTTGATGCATCTGCCCGGATCCGGGGATAATTTCGTTATTAAGTTCGTTAATTCCGGTAAAAAAATAGAGGTGGTTAAAAACATCAAGTTGATGTCAAGCGTGATGAAGAAGGTGGAATTTTCAGAGAATTTAATTCCAAATAATAAATGGGTTACGGTGAATATTACATTTTCCGAGAATCAACTGGGTGTGTTTGTTAATGAGAGCGAAGTCATTACGTTTAACTCGTCCTTTCCTTTATTGTTTTACTATTTTTCGATTGCCGTTGGTGAGAGCAGTTGGGTGACCTGGGTGGCTAACTGCGAGGTCTTGGATATTGATGGGCCGCCTCTGAACGGGGGTTGGTCTAAATGGTCCTCGTGGGAGTGCACTGTTACGTGCGGAGGCGGTGATGGTTATCGGACCAGAACCTGCTCAAATCCTAGACCCAACATCTACGGAGAGTTATGTCACGGTTCACCAACTACTAACGGGAAATGCAACGAGTTTGAGTGCGGCGATTTGAGCCCAGAAACTTTTAGAGAAGTACGAAACCATTTGCAAAATAGAAGCTACAGTTTGCAGGTAGATGAAGGAAGTTCTGTTTGGATACGGAATAACGTTGATATTCTAGCTCTAGTATCGACTGAATCTCCTGAAGCATACTATGACTGGTCTTTGAACGGAAAATTCATCAGAGCGGAAATTGGACGAGTTGATTTCGTCGGCGATGATATACTTATTAAGAATAGCCAATTCAACGATTCCGGTGTCTACATTTGCATGCTGTACCGTGTGAACAAGCAAAGACTTATTCTACACGTGGTCACCTTATCGGTAGTTACTAAAAAACCATCAATTACTACAAGAGCCACCCTTCCAATTAATTTGGACTGCAAGGCTCTAAGTCTCGGTTACGTTTATTCGGATTTAGCGCAAATTTGGTACTTGAACAAGACCCAATTCAAAAATTATGGAGTTACAACTCTTGCAGCTTACAGCAATGAATTCATTCAAGAAACAAATACTTCATTGACTGGTGACTGGAGATGCGTAATAGAGCAGCGAGATTTGAAATTGAATTGGACGACGGTCTTCATAAAAGTGAAAATAAAAAAAGCTCCAAATTTGTATACGCATCTAATGGAAGATCCGTTGACGAAACCGATTTTCGGTCATTTCAAATCGGAAACTACAGTCCAGGGAATCATATTGTTCATTATAATTATTGTTGTTTCTTTAGTCACTTTTGGACTTTTCGCTTATTTACGTTGGGGCACACTCCCAGATTCGTCACCGAGAAAACGCATTAAACCCAAAAAGAGGTGTATCACTTGTCTGGTTTCAATGAACCTGAATTAATCTTATGTTTTCTTCATTATTTTTTTTCAGCTCAAAAAAAAGAGGGGTCTGAAGGTTTTACGTCCATCTATAAGGGGATGTGGCGACACGCGAAAGGGAAGAAAATGGAAATTGCTATGAAAATCTTAAAAACAGAACATCGAGAGCGGTTTTTGAAGGCAAATATTGTATTCTATTTATTATACTACTTTAAATTAAATTTTGTGTGCTTGAATTTGTAGGACTTTTTGGAAATGGCAGGAAAGTGGGCATTTGTGCAGTCGAACGTGATAGTTCGTTTCTTTGGTTTGACTTTAACTAGCCAATTATCAGTGATCTTGGAGTTCGTTCGTCTAGGACCATTAGATCAATATTTGAGAGATAATATCAATATTATAAAAGCTGTTGATCTCGTTGAGGCAGTATCCAATCTTGCATCGGCACTTTGGCATTTGGTAAGTCTGTTTGTTATATATTTAGATATAGAATAAATTCTAATTTTATAGGAAGATGTAATGAACATTCAATATAAAACTAAAAAAAATATTTGAAATATGTTAAATACGTAATTATTAATCTTTCTAATTTGTATTTTAGTCTGAAAATGGTATAGTCCATGGTCATATAAGGTGTAGGAAATTGCTAGTGAGTTGTCATGATCAGAATTCGTTTACTGTGAAATTGGCTGATCCTGGAATACATTCCGAATATTTACCTGAAGAGTAAGAATATTTAAAAAAAATCATTTTCAAACACAAATTTAACATTAAATGTGTGATATTGTAGGGTCCATTGGCTTCCGCTTGAATGTTATCCTAATATGAATTATTCGATAAATGCGAAGACAACTGCTGCCGATGTCTGGGCTTTTGGAACAACTGTTTGGGAGATCTTCATGTACGGTGAAAGTATTAAACGCACAGATCATGTTAACGCGAAGAAAGTAAGCGATTCCGAAGTATTGACGAAGTTAATTTCATTAACAAAAACTATTTTTTATGTGTTCTAGTTTTATGCGAGTGGCAAAAGATTGTCGCAGCCTCAAAATTGTCCGTCTGATATTTACAAGCTGATGTTGGAATGCTGGGACGCGGACATGCATCGACGGAAGCAACCGCAAGCTATTTCCAGAGATATTAACCAAATTCTATATCAAGTTTACAATTCGAGACGTGTACATGCTTATGCAAAGATTAAAAATTTGTATAGTCATAGTACAGAAAGTATTTACTCAAATTATACAGGTACGTATCAAATTTATAAGTTTATTTATATTATTCTAAATTATCCGTTTTGTTTACAGAAAGTACGAATGTCACCAATCAAGAGGATTTAATTTCTGTGTTCGATATGCACGAAAACGATTCGGATTTATCGAAAGATAGTCTGTGGAGCGTAAATTCCTGGTCGAATCAAGTACTAGCATATTGTAAATTTACTTGAATTTTGTTTAACGTAATTATTTTCTTAGGATGCCACTAACAATGAAGCTTGCGGATTATCAAGTATGATGAGCAACTTTAATTATTCTACGGCCACAACATCTCTGGAAAGTATAAACGCAATTCAGAGTATTTTTGAATTGGACGATGATTGCAATGTCGTCTTGCAAGGCAGAATCGGACAGGTAATACGCGGGATGATAGGCAAATTTAGATTTTAACTTAATGTTATTTTTGATTTAGGGATTTTACGGAGAAGTGTATAAAGGAACTTTGGAGCATATCGGAGACAAGGAAAGTCCTCCCCAATTGGTGGCTATTAAAAAATTAAAATCATCGGCGGTTTCATCTTGTCTTCAAGATTTCGAAAGAGAAATTTCTATTATGAAGGTAATTTGTAAAAAGTTGTTTTACAAAAAAAAAATAACATTTTGTGTGTATTTCAGACATTAAAGCATCCCAATATTGTACAAATACTTGGTGTTCTACAGGAGCCGGAAATTTCATTGGTTATGGAATTTGTGAACCACGGATCGCTTCAAAGCTATTTAAAAATTTATAAAGATACCCTGACTAGTAAGCAGCTGTTGAAGTATGCAAGTGATATTGCTGAGGTATTATTATTGAGCCGTCTTTAAGTACTTGTGGTGTTAATTGAATTATTCTTATGTTTAGGGTATGCATTATCTTGGGTCAAAGAATATTGTCCACAGGGATTTAGCCGCTAGGAACATTTTGGTGGTCGATGAAAATCACGTGAAGATATCCGATTTTGGTTTAGCGCAAGTTGTTATCAATGATTATTACATTCTGACGACGGTCCGAGAATTGCCCATAAAATGGTAATAATTGCTTGATGATACAAACAATAAATATCATTTAAATGCGTTTATTTTATTGTGTAGGTATGCTTTGGAGAGTCTTCGAGACGGAAAGTTTTCTATCAAATCTGACGTTTGGTCCTATGGAGTTACAATGTGTGAAATGTTTTCGAATGGCGATGAGCCAAATTTGCCGGTATCAGAGACTGAAGGTCAGGAACAGCAGATATTGTTAGATGCCCTAGAGAAGGGTACAAGGTAAATTAAAGTAATTTGGGTAATAGCTGAATCTAAATATTAATACTATATTATGTAGATTTCCGTGTCCGCTAAAGTGTCCTCAATCTGTGTACGTAAGGGTGATTTATCCTTGTTGGTATAAGGACCCTCATATAAGGCCGAGTTTCCAAGAGATAGGAGTCGAAATAGAAAAGTTGTTGAAGGAATATTAAATTTTAAAATTGACTATTTATAAATATATACATTTGTTAAAAATATATTTGTAATTGTGCCATGTTAATTATAATAAAATATTTATGTACAATGTTTCTTTGCAAAATATAACACAATTACACATATAGATTGATGATACCTTAATTTATATAAAAAAAAACACAATAAATCAGAATTCAATAATTTATTACGAACAATAAATCAAACACATGATCACTCGTAGCTCTGCAAATTCCTGAAATGTAGAAACACTTTAGACAATAATACAAGCAATAACTGACTTTAACTGCTTTAAATTACTTTTTATAGTAGTGCAGTCTCACCACTAGAAATGGAGCTGTTGAACCAACGCCGAAGAATAGTATGAATACTGCGGTTAATAGCATCGGTTTGCCACATGGTATAGGAGTGCTCTGAAAACGATTTTTTCATTGTATTATTTATTTTCTTTTTATCATTATTATTCCAATGCAGAATATCTTACTGAACCGGGAATTCCCGCTTGCTTGTAGCCTCTGGTGAAACTTCGGAGAGCGTGCTTTGCCAATAATCTACTTCCCGTTACTAAATTCCACATTTTTCCTTAATTAGAAACAATTTGATGTTTCTTGTTTTCATGCGAAATTAGTAATTACATTTGACAAGTTACAAAAACAATCTAATTTCAAAGACTGCTATTCTTTTAATACGATTTTTTAATTATTTATTATAATATTCGCTCTGTCCGACAAAAAGAATCCCATTTCACATACTAATTTGTTCAAAAATAAGTCTCATTTTAATTTAACAGTGTTACTCAAGACTAAAAATCAATGCTAGAGATTGAAGGACATTTAAAATAAACAAAATATAAGTTTTACTCACTATTAATTGTAAGAGAAAAAAAACAAATCTTTATTACATAATTCCTTAAATTATTAATTTTCACGGATATTATCATTGTTTATTATAAACATTTTAAAGATATTGTGAAGTTGGATTCTCTTCTTAGACTTTATATTTTTATCAAAGAAGACTTGATCATTGATATTTTTCTACTTCTTATAAATAAAAGAACCTAATAATAGGAATTTATATACTCTACTGAACGATAATGGCAGTTGGTTTTCCAGTTCCAAAAGTAAATTCATCTTTGAAACATCGAAATCGTATCATAAGATATGTGAAACAAAATGTATCTAATTTTACGACAGTAATTTAATTTAATTTGTTAAGAATAAAGTAAATATAACATCTAATATTACTGTGATTTTTTACTGTTAAATGGTAAATATTGTAGTAAAAACTGGTAAATTATGAGATTTTTTAACACTTTAACTGCGACTGCCGTCAATAGACGACGAAACGGAACTTTCGTGTGGTATGGCTGTCGTCAATAAGCGATTTGATGAATTATGCTAAGATACGGTTGTCTATTTGACCATATATAGTCTATATATTATTGTAAGATTTGTTATCTCACAACTTAATTATGATTACAGTATGCACATTTTATAACGTGTTTTATGGGTATACATATTTATTTTACCTAGCTGCATTTATTTTATCCACATTTTATTTCCGACTGTACGTGTAGTAGTAATATTTCATTTAGTGCTATCTACTTGCATTTTTCTTATAAAAATAATTATTTTTTACCGCATTGAAAATTGTTATTAGAAATGTCGTGAGATAAATTGTACAGAAACATGGAACTCTGCAGCTAGACCTGGAAGACAATGGTATCCATTCCATTGATCGTTTAGCTGCAGTAAATTTAATGAAAAGTCATTCACCAGTTAATATTCCATCTACTGAAAGTGCACAAAAAAACAAAGAATTTGCCATGTATGCTCAAATACTGTTCTAGGTGAAAAAAGAAAGAATATATCTTATAACTTTACTAAAAATAGGACTTTACAAAAATATAGCGCAAAAGAATACTGCGATTTAGTTTTTCATTTTTCAATTTGTTTTTGATGATGATATTGTGATATTTATATTTAAAGAGTTTTGAAATGTAGTTCACAATATACATAAATATATAAAATGTTTCGTTTATATTCACAAAACTGGTTGTAGTTTTGTAAATATATTTCAGTCGTTAAAGATTTAATTGAACATCAATAATAATTTATTCTGGTACATTATTTCAATTGATAGAATCTTTCAATCATATCAAATAGGCTATTCCATGTCGACCTGTTATCCAAAATCAATGAGATTCCTCCATATATTAATTTCTCACTACTTTTAAAGAACTTCATTTTTGGGGATTCATGATATAATTTTCCACTCATCGGATTTTAGTTATAATTGGTAAATCATTTTCAGGAGCAACATCATTTTCAATTTCTGTGTTAAAATGAAAACCAAAATTTACCGTATTTCTGTAATCATATCCCAACTGTATATGCTTATATATATTACAGTGAAACCTCGCTTAACGAGTAAAATGAATTATAAGAAAAATGACGCTGTTTCGCGAAGAGCTGTGTGTTTTTGAATATATTAACCATCTTCGATTTTCTTTGTCAACTTTCTTTAAAGCGGACTAAAAATTTGCAATTATAATTTGTTTTTGCAGTAAATGCAATGCAAGCCCGACAACCGAAAGACCGTCTATTGAAAGCCCGACATTCGAAATCCCGAGTGTATCGAAATCCCGACTACCATAATCCCGACAGTGTCTTTTATTATTATAATTTCTACAATAACATTTTTAAATTATTGTACTATATTTTAATAGGTACGACGGATACTGAAAAAAATACTTTTAAGACTTAGGTCGATGGCTGTTTTGGCCGATTATTAATTGTTGTTATTTATTCTTAATAACAATAAATAATATTAATTATTATTGTATTTTTTAGCTCTACAATCTACGAAATAATACACAAAATAAAATAAGTTTCAGAGAATGATTTTATTGATGCATTCCATTTTTATTTACAATAAAAATTAATTAATTTAATAGCACTAGCCATTCACTATTGATACCTGTAACAGGGAATATATAAGAATTGGTCCTTGTCAGTGCAATAACTGGATAACTTACAAGTTCAAAAATTTACTTCTTGGCGTATTGCAACCTGACTACAAGGAATGGAGCACTGAATCCCAATCCAAAGAAGGCAGCCATAACAGCGGTCAGGCGGTACCTGTTGGTGATTTGGAATGGCAAATTCTGAAACACAAATTGTGAGTTGAAAATAAAAAATGAAAAGCTTTTTTTAATTAAAAAAAAATATAAGAATTATTATTGATATAAATCTCTTTGGTCTTAATTCTACCCTCTTTCGTATCAGATTTTCGTGATACATGCGACTATAACCACACGGCTACAGCCGCCTTGTTAATTGGTATTGTTCAATAATGTTGTAAGTATATATAATAGTTTGGGAAACTCTGAAATATTATTCATGGAAATGTATTGCCAACTTCACAATTTAGTTAATCAATAATAAATCAAAAGTAACTAATTATATATCAGTGGTTTTTACAAGAAAGACTAATAATAAATAATTGTTTATGTAATGATCTATATAATTTTTGTATAAGGTTATTTAAATTGATATTAGGTTATGAGTTTGAATAATATAAGAGAAATCCAATTGCTTTGAGCAAAAACCTTTTACAACAATGATTTTATATTAGAAATCTAGTGATCCGCTGGAATATCAAAGGTTGCTAGGTTTAGGCTTAAACAAAACTCGACACCCAGCCTACCTTTCAGATGTTATATAATGGAAGATAGAAACAAATGAAGATACTCACTTCGCCGGGGACACCTCCGTGTCCGCTGTTCCTCACGAATTGGGTGATGGCCTTCCTGGCGAACAATTGGCTCTTTCCAATCATCTTTACAATATCGAGATTTCCTCAAATTTGCTTCACAAAATTTCTGGTGTGCTCGATCAAGTCGTAGACGAAATTGCGACCGATTGCCGGTAGAGGCGCGCCTCGCTCCACACCGCTGCCAACATTTCAACGCGAAATTCAAAAGTTATTTGTGTTACATATCTCGCATTAAGGTCATTAGTTTATTATAAATATAATAATTTATTCAATGACTTAACAGCTTGACCACATTGCAGTAGTCTGTGTGAGAGTGGTGCGTGAACTTCTGCAAGATGTTGTCTAAAGGAAGGATCCTTCTTCGGAAGCAAAACGTTTTCCTCAGATCCGTGCATCTGGAGAGCTCCAACGTTATTCAGACCAAGTGCGATGTTAATTCGCCCAAATATAACGTGAGTAGAGTAGTTTTTTTTCGATGGCAAGGTTAAACCGTGTAACATGCAAACAGATCGTTCATTTCGATAAAGCAATTTACACTTATCTAATTTGATTGTGTAAATAATTTTATGTAATGATACGCTCGTTATTTGTTTAATACATATTCTGCCTACGCAGATTTATGGATCTACATTCAAACATCGAAAAATAATGTCTTTAATTCAACTTGTATGTTGTTTTAAAATATATTTTTGAAATTTATTTTGCAGGAAAACCATGCTTACATGTCAGATATAGTTAATGAGTTGAAGACGAAAACTCAAACTTTGCTGATGGGTGGCGGTGAGAGGGCTGTGAAAAGACACACCGCAAAGGGTAAATTGTTGGTCAGGGATCGCATCAACAAGTTGCTGGACAAGAACTCCGCCTTTCTGGAGTTGTCCCAATTTGCTGGTCATGAAATGTATGATGATTCGATTAACAGTGGAGGCATTGTTACTGGAATTGGTAGAATTCATGGGTAAATATTTTATTTAGGAACATTTAACTTTAAACTTAACATTCAAGTTAAAATAAGTAATAAAAAGTTTAAAGGAACTTCAAAATTTAATTGTTTTGTCAAGATTTTGTTCAAAATAGACATAAGTTATTTTAATTTATTATTTTCTCTATGAACATCATCAATAAGTATTATCATATGATAAGAAATAGTGGTAGTTTATTTGTTCATTAAATAAGAGGATTTTGACTGAATTATTATTATTCATAAAAAAAACGTAGATTATTACATCAAATTCAACCATTACCATATGCCATTAAATTCTACAATATAAATAAACGAAATTTACAAGTCCATATAATACAGTAGTCAGTTAGTAAGAAACTTGAAGAAACAAACATTATAATAACCGCAATAAAAGCGATTGTAAAATAAGTAGGAAAATTTACATAATTCTGAAAAGGTTATTATTATTGACAGTTCGCCACTCTAAGGTTCTTCATTCATAATATAAACGAGAGTCAATAGAAAACCGCAAATATTATGATTTCTTTTCCTCCGTAATTTGCTTCTGCCCATGAATCATTAGTTTCCTGTTTATTAGACTGTTTAGTTGTATTCAACTTTTATTACAATTTTATATTTATTATTTTATTTATTTCTATTTTTTTATAACTTGATCAGCAAAAGTACCAATTCATATTAAAAAAATTATAAAAAAACTTTTCAAAATTTCGAGTTTGATGGGTCTTAAAAATTGGCGACCGCTGATTTATATGATGCATTTAATACATTTGCTACTGTTTTTATTCACAATTATATTTCATATTCTTATTCTATTAAAAAAATAACAATTGGATGTAGATTATTTATGTATACATTGAATTACAGAACGGAATGTGTGATCGTTGCGAACGATGCAACCGTGAAAGGTGGTACTTATTACCCGATGACTGTTAAGAAGCATCTTCGTGCACAAGAAATCGCGCAAGAGAACAAATTGCCATGCATCTATTTGGTGGACAGCGGTGGCGCCAATCTGCCTCATCAATCCGAAGTCTTCCCAGACAAAACACATTTCGGTCGTATTTTCTTCAATCAAGCAAACATGTCTGCAGAAGGCATTGCACAGGTAAAAAATAACGTTCTGTGTTCCAAATTACTTTTCAATTACTAGTTCAATTTCTCAATTAATGTAATCTTCAAATATAGGAATAGAAACGGTTTGGTCGTTGTTATAATTCAGATCATATAAGTAAATCTTTAAACTGTTTGTAGGAGGATATAAACTAAAGAAGTTTAATGTTGTTGTTCGAAGATTGCCGTAGTCATGGGTTCTTGCACTGCTGGAGGAGCGTACGTTCCGGCCATGGCCGATGAATCCATCATCGTGAAACAACAAGGAACGATTTTCTTGGCTGGACCTCCTCTTGTAAAAGCAGCCACTGGAGAAGAGGTAATAAGCATCGCAAACATCATTGAAATTCTTAACATCGAATATTTTAGGTATCTGCCGAAGATTTGGGCGGTGCCGACATGCATTGCTCCACGTCTGGAGTTACAGATCACTACGCTCTGAATGACGAGCATGCCTTGCATCTGGCCAGACAATTAATCAAGAATCTAAATAAGAAACCCACCAATGTATTCAACGAGGCCTTCGAGCCTCCAAAATATGACGCTGAAGAGCTGTACGGAATCATCGATCAAGATCTATTCAAATCATTTGACGTGCGCGAGGTCATCGCCAGAGTGTTCGACGGCTCCAAATTCGACGAATTTAAGAAGCGGTACGGCGAAACGCTTGTCTGCGGTTTCTCAAAACTGTACGGCAAAACGGTGGGAATCATCGGAAACAATGGGGTGCTGTTCTCAGAAAGCGCAATTAAGGGCGCGCATTTCGTGCAACTCTGCACGCAACGTAACATTCCATTGATTTTCTTACAAAACATCACAGGTAATGAGTTTTTAATCATCTAAACAATAGTAGTTTTAACGTTCTGAACGTTTTAGGTTTCATGGTAGGAAAGCAGGCGGAAATGGGTGGAATCGCAAAGAATGGAGCGAAATTGGTAACGGCTGTAGCTTGCGCCAATGTTCCGAAGATTACTTTGGTAATTGGTGGATCTTACGGTGCCGGAAACTATGGTAACTATTAGTGGTATTAATTGTAAACTTAAACTTATATTCTATTGAATTTAGGAATGTGCGGAAGGGCTTATTCTCCGAGATTCTTGTACATGTGGCCAAACTCCCGCATCGCCGTCATGGGAGGTCCTCAAGCCGCTGGCGTCTTATCCCAGGTAGCTGTTAAGGCCAAGAACAAGGATTGGAAGCAAGAGGATGTCGACGAATTCGAAAAACCCATCATCGAAAAATTCGACAAGGAAAGTTCTCCATACTACAGCAGCGCCAGGTAACTAATTAGAATTTCAAAATGTTTACATGAAAATTCTACAATATTTATTTTAGAATCTGGGATGATGGTATCATAGATCCAAAGGACACCAGGAAAGTGCTCGGCCTGAGTTTGGCAGCAGCTCTGAACGCCGAAACAAAAAACACCAAATTCGGTGTATTCAGGATGTGAAAAAAATACATTTTCTTCATTCCTTGCCTGATAACATTGTGTATCTCATATCAAAGCATTTATAATGTTACATATTTTAAAATAAAATTCTATAGCGTTGAAATATAAAGATTTTAAAAGATAATTTATTTACTTATGTAAGATATACAAAATTTAATAATAATCTAAGTTTATTAAGAAAGTAACTTAACCTACAGTAGTTGTGTCTCTTTTCTGTATGTATCTCAGCTGCTTCTTCTTCATCCTCTTGATTTTATTCGTGTTTGTGATGACCTGCACAATCTCGGATTTCTTAGTGTTCTCTTCCTTGCGTTTCATGTTCTCCCTTCGCCTTTCTTTCTTCTCCTCCTTTGCAGCTAACTGAGCTTCCTTTGCTTGCTTTGAGATTTCTCTGACCCTCTTCAAGTCATTTCTGAGTGCCTCTTTACGCTCAAACGAATTCTTCAGACCTTTAACTTTGACAATTCGGGAGAACTTTTGCTTTTCACTTTTCCAAAATCTTCCCGACTTTGGTTGTCCTCGAACTACTGGAGTTCTTCTACAAAAAAAAAATAAACAGAATTAGTATTACTATAAATATTTACTCTCAATTTAAAATCATCTATATTTCAAAAATCCACATTCTGTCTTTCTAAATTATAAATTTATTCCATCAATATCAAACTTAAATATATGAAATGTAGATGACTAATTTTAAATCAATAATTAAATTAGATAATTCTCAAAAAGATTACTAACATTTATGATAAATTTCTGATGAATTTGCTATGGGTCGGCAACCTGCGGCTCTTTGAATGATTAATTGCTAAACAATTTATTGGTTCTAGTTAATAGATATAATTTAAAAAAAATGGCTCTTTGCTCCAATAGGGTTGCCGACCCCTGGGTTAAGCCTTAACTCTCCGATAGCATCTCAATTTGCGGAGAATACGCCGTAACTTTCATTTTTAAACAGGACGAGAGACTCACGTTGTTTAATTGGTTTCTCAACTTACTTTTAATACAATTCATATTAGAAAAGAATTTCTCACAGTAATATGTCGATCCGAAAATCGATAAAAGTCCAAATGCGTATGATTTTAATTGAATGTAAGTGTCCGGTAAACAATTCCACGTTTCAAACACAATCTGATCTTGCGTTTTAAGTTCTTCTATTTCAGACCAGTTCTGTTGTAAAGCAAGGGTAGATTTTTGTCTTTCCAACTCCTCCAGATCAGCTATAAGATATTTAAATTTCGAATTCCACAAATCCTTGTATCTCAAATCCTCTAACTCAAGTTGAAATGCAGCCTCATCAATTCCAACAAAAGGTGAAAAAAATAATTCATCAGGATTAATTTCAAGTGGTCGCAATAAAAATGATATTGTCAGCTTGTTCTTTCTAAACTCCTCAAATCTCCCATTAAATTCAGATCGCATATTTACCACAATTTCTTTGAAAAAAATTAAATTTATAGAATTATTATCAGCTTGTTCTTGTTGATATTCCTTCAACATAGGAAAATGTAACAATTTGCCTTTCTCCAAGTCTGTTTGAAATAAATATAATTTTCGATCAAATGAAATCACTTCTTCTAAAAGCAAAACTACCGTATTTCCCTTTTCCTGAAGTTTCTTATTTAGTGTGTTTAAATGGGAGGTCATATCCACCATAAAATAGAATTTTTGTAACCAAAGAGTATCTTCTAATTGCGCATATTGAGGGTCTTTTTGGCTTAAGAACAACTTAATCTCTCCAAGACAGGTGGCAAATTGCTTCAACACTGCACTACTATAAATCCATCTAATTCTATTATGCAAAAGGAGATCAGAATATTCACAATTTATTTCATTAAGAAGTTCACTAAATTGCTGATGATGTAGCTGTTTTGCCATTATTTTGTTAACAATTTCTACAACCAAATCCATCACCACTGTTATCTCCATTGGAAAGGTTTGTGCACACAGTATCTCTTGATGGATTATGCAATGAAAGGAAAACACATCATGAAAAATGTGTCTTTTAAATAAAGAAACAAAACCTGTTTGTGTATCTTTCATGTTCGGTGACCCATCAGTTACAATAGATATTATTTTATTAATATCAATACCCCTACTTTCAAAGCAAGTAATAATAGCAGATTCAATGTATTCTCCACAGATTTGTCCTGTAAGTGGCAGTATATCTAATAATTCTTCTCGAGGTCCTTGAGGGGTTATGTATCTACAAATAAGTACAATCTGTGCATTGTCATCAACATCACATAATTGGTCACAGGCAATTGAGAATAATGGTGCAGAATTTAGATCTATAACTTGCTGAATTGTTATATCTTCTGCCATTCGTATAGTCCTGTCCCTTACAACTTTAGCAGATAATGGCATGTCTTTTATTTTTGTAATTATTTGCGATCTGTTTTCAAAATCACAGAAAAGATATTCAGACATTTTAATGAAACAGTCTTTCAAATATTCACCATCAGTAAATGGTTTTCCTCGTTTAACAAGTTCTTGAGTGGCGACAAAGCTAGCAACAGTTGTATCTCTTGATGCTTTTTTAGATTTATTTTCCAAACACTTAATTATGTTTATCTTGCATTGCAGTTCTTCTACTGCTTCTTTTCTTTCATCTCCCACTGGATATGCCTTATCAAATATATTGTGTTTATTTAAAAAATGTCTTTCTATATTTGATTTTTTATTGTTTGAAAGCCTCTCATGGCATATTAAACACATTGGTAATCCTTCTTCATTTTCTACAAATGCATAAGTCTCAGTCCATTCGCTTTTAAACCTACGGTTTTCTTGCTCTATCCTTCTCTTCTTTGTTGACATTTTAAATACTACAAAAATATTTGTATTTTGTTAATATTTAATTTTAAGTTAAAAATAATATCATTACCTAACAACTTCACTAATATGCAAAAAGTGAGAAGATTTTCAGAATACACCTACTACACTATATGTAAACACAATGGACGTTCAGTTAGACAAGCGTTACCGTAGCCTAAAGCAACGACGTTAATATGCCCAAACCAACAGCATGATCGTAGCGCTTCAGTAACGTTACCGTAGCAATCGCCATCTTTGCTAGTTAAATTTACTTTGGTTATCCAATACGGTGACAGCTAGTTTACGCGGAGCGGGAACTATCATTTTATATCTTTTTTTTTTATTCTAAACATTATATGTAAAATGTCATTAATTTATTTAGGGTTTTAAACTTCTATTTTAATAAATAATATTAATATATTATTTAAAATAATATTGTTTAATAGCGAAAAGAGGAACAATTATTAATTCAAAGAGCCGCAGGTTACAACAACATGCTAAAACTTTTATGTATTAAAGAAACTTACTTGACTTCAGGAACTTTTTTGTCAACATCTTTTGACTCTTCGATTTTCTTTTTATCGCCCAATATATCTTCTAACTTAACTACTTTATTCGTTACTTTGGCCATGATTTATCCAATAAAGTAATGTTACTACTTTCAACACGTGTAAATATACCACTGAAAGTTACTGAAAGATTGAGGTTAAGTCATTTGACAAATAAAACCAAAACTAAAGTGAAGTGAGCTACAGACGAGGTAAAGATTTTAACAAATTCTAAGAAAATCGAAATATTTCAAAATTCAATGAATTCCAAAAACATAATACTATAATTATTAATTATAACGATAAAATAAATTTATTTAAATTTGTTGTTTATGCGTTTTGTCTTTGGGTTGGCAATGTTTGCCAAATTAATAACAACAACTGTGTACAATAGTGTGACAGTTCGTGAGTGGATGTCGTGATAGCAGGTCGTGTCTCGCATGAACATTGCGTACATATTTTTAAGTGCGCGTGATTTGTAAGATGCACGAGAAGTTTTCGAGTGGAAAGGGGTAGTGATATTTAATTGATACGGGAGATAAGGGGTGAACCTATCAGAAAAAAATGGCCAAGAAATTAACGGAGGAGATGGTTATCGCGAGGACGAAGATCTCGGACCTCTCCAAGATCAAAAGATTGAACTGTTGGTGAGTGATGAACAAATAAAGACAGTTTTATTTCTTAATCGTTTTATCTTAATTCTATTCTATCTTTCTTCCACGATCAGGGGCAGCGAACTGGTGGATGTTTCACTATTGCGGAGGATGACTGCAGTTGAAGTCCTGTCACTAAGGTAAATTGCTCATTTCAGGATTTTCATCTTGAAGACTTAAAGACGAAGTACATACTTTTTTAATATATAAAGCGGTGAAGCGTTGAAAATCGTGAACGTACTCGACAAAAAAAAACTTTATAAAAGGAAATCTAATAAGAAATCATAAGTTCTTTGGTCATGGTAATTATTAGATCCACGTGATCATATGCAACAGTGTTTCCAAAGATGCTCTTTTTTTCTAGAATTGTTTTTTACCGTTTATTTTATACTAAAGTACCGGTCACGCGCCGGCTGTCATCGTGTTTCATGAGAGCGAGGAAGGGACAGCTTCTTCCACATTGAAATAGTCATTATTTTTACCTTTTCCTCATTATAAAACGCATCTATTGCTAATTGCTGTTTGCAATTACCGTTGACCTTTCTGTCTACGAACACGATCACTGCACGTTACTTAATTAGCTGTTATCTTCGCCAGTCCTGGTGTCATTGTCGCAACTGTAAATGTAGTTGTCGCTGTTACCTTTTTCTCTCTTCTTGTTGCACAATGAAAACCGTTACCTCGATTGTTTAGGATTTAATTCGCTTCTCGTGCGTGTACACCGATCTCACACTGTTTCAGGTGGACGTATTTTTTTTTTCAACCAGAAAATTTGGATCACAAATCTCTCGGATGGATGCGTTTGCTGTGCTTTCAGGAGGATGCACATCCTGAAATGCACTTGATCGTTACATTTTCTTCAAACACAACAAACAAAATTTTATTGGGTGTTAACATATGTTATGTCCGTTTTTTCCAAATGAACTCTAGAGGGACCAGAAATTCCTAAATTTCTAGACCCAATACATTTCTAGACTACTGAATCACACAACTACGTCAACTGAATCAACATCGTATCAAGATGCATTATTTGACATACCAACCAAATTAAAGGATAGTTGCTCTATCCTTGACATTTCCTAGAAAATTATAATAATGCCCGACTAGGGATGTTGTAACACGATAACACTCGTGTACATAAAAAACACAAGATATACCAATCTTCAACCCGCTAGGGCGTGAGTCCGTGACGTGGGAAGGTTCAGGGCGCCACTTCCTTTTTATAGAGAGGAAGAACTCTAACAACTGCTTCCAGATCAGCAACTTCTTCTCCGACGGTGGGCCTTAGCTCCTATAGAGCACCAACACCGTCCTCTTGGAGATTACAAATATATCAGAATATCTTCTTAAACTGGAGACCTCAACCGTCTTCTTTCGCGGTTCGCTGCGGTCTCCCCGAATTTTTGAAACATAGTTGCAACGTGGAGCGCACTTGCAGCGTTGTCGATTTTACCACGTTACAATGTTCTAAAATATATCAATAAACTAAATAAATATTAATAAACGGTTTTATTTTATGACACATCAATTATAATAAATAATTACTAAACAGAAAGATTGGTTTTCATTAAGATTCGGATTCCATTAAAAATGAGTCATTAATATTCTATATTTGTCAATTGTCTCATAACTCGTATGAAAATTTCTAAAAAATAGTTAATAACAGTTGAAATTATGCACGTTTTCTGGAAATATAAATCTGTTAGCTTAGATTAATTGATTCTGTTATTAATATTTATTAATGACAGAATCATTTGTAGATCATTAAAATAGTTTTTATTTATATAATTGAATGAAAAATCTTGTTTTATTACGATTTGATTCTAATTTAACGTTTTTGATGTGTGATGCAGATCTCCTATTACATAATGTTAGCTAGCAAGGATTCCTATAAAAATGAGTCACCTGTTATTCTTTATTTGTCAATCATGACAGCAACATTTGCATCTGCTACCAAACGTGTGAATAGCATTAATTAGAGCGAAGTTAATAATATACATGGTTTTTAATATCGTTTTACAACAACGGAAAAGCATTCTATTCTATTATATAATATTAAAGAATGCAATGAACTTTATGAATTTCATAACAATTATTTAATAGAATTTACATTTTCTTATATAATATTTTTATATAAAAAACAAAATATTAGATTGCAAATTTTATAGCAGAGGTTTAGCTAATTTGTGGCTTGCGCTCGTTTTTTGTTTCTTTATATATTTGGGGTTCGACTAACATTTTAAAATTTGCTCAAGTCAAATAAAAGGTGGAGCAATACTGGTTTTACCAGCGTTTCTCAACCCATATTTGTTTGTAGTTATACTGCGACTCATTTTTTTCATCAGTTCATTTCGCTATCCTTTAAAAATTTAATACCATCCAATATCTTGGATATTTTCTTTAGTTTGAATTATTTTTTGTTGTTAATATTTTTTTGGATACCTTCTATTATGTAATTTTTTAAAACCGCATAAAACTAAATCAATGAGTTAGAATATACCGAAAATCGCATAAAAAAGGGTTTATTAAATTTCAGAAAAATAATTATTCTTACTGTTTTATTTCTTTCTGAAATGTTTATTCATAATTTTATAAAAACGTTAACAATCATAGACAAGTTTATTAAATTTCAGAAAAATATAATCTTAACATATTCCTTCTAAATTTATACGCAAAAATTTTACAAAAAAAAATACAGAAAATCTTTATGAAAGTTAATCTTTCTTCGCATTTTTTTTTTAGAATTATCGTCGCTATATGAGAGTGTTCGGCATAATTTGCGAACTGGTTCAAAATCACTTTCATCACTAGAAGAGATAGTCAGCATATCAGATCTATGCCCTGAAGATAATGATTCTTTACAAGTAAAATTAGTCTCAACTTCGTATGTTGTTTTTTCCCCTTTTTTTGTATAATTCCTGATATCCAGAAATGCAATTCTGAAGCTTGCGTTAAAACTTGAATGCTCGTTCAGAATTATCTTTTCCGATAAAATGGTTTGCCAATTTATGTCAAAACGTGTCAAAATGGCCTAAAATAGTTATTTAAAAAAATGCTTCTTGAAATAAAAACCGCATAACTTCAAAACCGCATAAAAAGAGTACGCATAAAAAGAGGACCGAGTGTATATCATATTGGCGATCATATCTATCCATTTGTTTATAGTATATTGGGCAATGGCATATCTTCTGTTTTTTTTTATATTAAAATCTTTGAAAATATAGTTCAATTTTCTGATTATTGTTCATAACTGTATAAGTTTTAGAAATACAATTACGAATTTCTAAATTTAATTCAATTTTAAGGTTAGTTAAAGAGTGTTATCAAAACTTACGTTTCAAGATGAGTTTGTTTTACGAAATAATAATCTAATATTTTTTTATGACCTTAAATAAGGAGAAAGGTGATACAAATCTGCTGTAAAATAATTGTTATTACTCATAGAAATGTTTAACATTGTTGCGACAATATTGCATAATTTGATTAATATAGTAGCTAATCTTAATAAATCATATTTTAATCTAAACGAATTTGTTTTTACCATCATTAAATCATGTTTTATTTAAGCGAATAATAAAGTTCCGTTTATCAACATTGTTTTTGTTGATACAATTTTGAAAATTATGGTGATTCATCTGCGCCGAATCTGGATGCAGATTCTGTGCAACCTTACCAAGACAAATCAACTTAATTAGTAAGCGAAGCAAATGCGATTTCTGTTTCGTTTAAGACGATATGATTCCTGCGACTTGTAAATGCGACTTTGACATTGCCAATTGAGTGTCTTGTTCTGCCCACATCGTAAAGCCCATATACGAATACCCGTTTGCGGCGATTTTAAACATCCACTCGACGACTTCTTCTTTTTTTGGGCATCCACGAGTGATCAATAACTTAATGTGGTGTTGCTTTTTGAATGCGTAATGTTGAAATATTGATTAGGTCGTGGGTTTCGTTTCACATTATTTATTAGATAGTCGGACCTGTACAACTAACCAATCTGTTAGCAAGCCGGTAAAAGTTTAGCAATGCGTTTGGCATATGGTTCTTG